ATAAGAAATTGAAGTAATACAAATGCACTAAAATTTAAATTCCAACAACCACAAATAATTAAGGCACCTAAGGTGGCAAATCCCTTCTTCAATTCATAGAGCATATAATTACCCAAATAAATTCGCTTAATATTAATTTGTTAATCTAGAGTATTAGTAGGAATAATTATCTTTTGATTAATTACACCCCTCTCTTAAATTAATATGTTATTCCTAACATAAATACCCAAGAGGCAAAAAGGCACAAACTCACTTTAATGTAATTATATTAGTCCAATAGGTATATTCCTATCCTATTAACAAATTAGAAATAATTATAATCTTACATTATTCAATCTAATGGTTTAATTTAGATTTTTCTCTTCCAAGGTAAAACTTAAACTCTCAAATTCACACTCAATGATAGTTGAGCATTAAATAGACAAATAAGCACAAGATTAAGTAAACAAAACTAATATTAAGCTTAAATAAATGGTTCAAACATGCTTTAATCTAAGAATCAATTCATAGCTACCTTAAATTAAGAAAAAATCAGCCACACATTGCTTTATGGCAGTAAGAATTAGCAATATGTGCAACAAAGTAAAGAGAAAAAGGAAAAGAAAATTTTAATCAGAGCAATCTTGAGCAAAACCCTTGATTTTTCACTAAACCAAGCTTCTCCAACCCTCATTTGACTCCTTTTGCTCTCCCTGGATGTTCTGTAGCTGCTGGAAGTGAAGAATGATCGAAAATGAGGTCCCTAAATTTTAAAAATTCATTGAAGATCAAAATTGTGCATTTTATTGAAATCTCGCTTCACTGCAACGAAATGTATTTTAGTTACAGTGAACATGTCTTGTTCAGATTTTCTTTTCAAATTTACTTCCTTTGACCTGGGCTCCAAAATTTTCATCTTTAAGCCCATAATAAGGCCTCCCTACATGTATAAACCCAAAATAAATGATAGAATTGGTCTATTAATTTTCAATCACATTTCCATGCCCATTTTCACACACAATCATCTACCTAATCATATTTTTGTTAAAAAAAATTCAATAAATGACTTCCAATTATATTTAAAACACCAATAAATTTAATAAAACATTGGAAGTTATCAGGCAAAATTTAGACAAGCAAAAGAAAGTGATAGTAAACTCACAAACTGTGGAGAGAGCAATGAGGTGGGATTTGCTTGAGGTTGGTAATGTGAAGATCAATGTAGATGGGCCTCATTGCTCCAAGAATAAAAAGGCAGCAATTGGGTTGATTGCAAGAAGCAATATTGGGCAGTTTTGAGGGGGGCATTGGTAGGTTGGTTTAAGCTAAATCTACATTTACGTTTGAAAGCTTAGCTCTTCTTAAGGCTTTGCTATGAAAGATTTATTTTGTGATGAGAAGGTGGTTATAGAGACCGATTGTTAGGTATTATTAGTAAGGTGAAGTCTTTGAAAGTGAAGGTGTGTGAATGGTGGTGTTTTGATGTGGTGCAGGAATGTATTGAGCTTTTTAGATTTGATGGTGCTTATTTTGTGAGTTTGGTCGCTTGTAAGGGAAATACTGCTACAAACTGGATTACAGCTGGTGTCATGAGTGGTATGGTATCATAAGGATGGCTCTTTGGTTACAGCTGGATTACAGCTGGATTACAGCTCTTTTTAGATTAAAACAACTTCCGTTCTAACATTATTGATATTGATACTCCTTCCGTTCTAACATTATTGATATTGATGCTTTAAGTTGTGTGCACATATTAAGAAAGTATATAAATACCCTAAATTTTGACAAAATATAACAATGTTTCACCAAAATATCCTTACTTAATTATAATGTCTTTTTTGCCAAAACAAAAATTATAATGTCGTAAAACAAATGTATCTTATAATTACAAACATAATTAACACTTTTTTATAAACATAAAATCGCACAATTATTTTGAAATTAAAAAAAAAAACAAACCATGATATGTAGCAGTTATTTTGGGATAATCAAGCGAGTATATATTATACAGATGCACTACTTCAGAAGTAGAACATTTTGAAACGTATGGATGTATGAAGTAATTAAATTGACGAAGAATCAATATATATATATATATATATATATATTATCATTATGTAGAGTACTTTAACTAAGCCAACTAGAGTGTACGTTTGTGCAAAAGTTTGGTTTTCTTGTCTAATCCAATTCAATCCAAACAACAAGTCTGGTCTAGTCCAGTTTAGTAAAAAAAATTGGTACAAATGACTAAAGAGACCAAAAAAACCAGGTTAACTTTTTAGGTTGTATTGAATAGGAGACCAAACTCTTAAACCACTTATTTGGTCTGATCCTATGAAATTATTTTAATATAATTTTAATTATTTTTAATATATCTCAATAGTTTGAACTTTGAACTCGACATTTCCTTCATTTATATTTCACCCTTTTATTTAATATAATTTTAATTTAGTTTGCTACTAAATTGTTGTTAACTTGTTGTAATATATATTAGAAATATTGCTGAAATTTGTTAAATGTTATTGTTGCTGTTGTTGAAGTTATGAATTTGAATTATTTAAATTGTAAGTGAAATATTTGTTGTTATTGTTGTTAGATATTGTTACATATTTTTTATGATTATAAATATTTATATTATTTTAATTGAGTTTATCAAGATGAAATATATTGTTACCTCTAAAAAACTAAAAAAGAAAAGCTAAGTCGATACTATATTATTGGGACTAATCTTCTAATCTTATAAAATAAGTCCAATCCTATTAATTTTTAAGTTACAATTGGACCAGACTGAATTATAGATTGACTAATCTAATTATTTAAGTGAAAGAGATCAGATTTTAGATCAGACTAAAGTTCAGTCTTGTATAATCTTTTGTACAGCTGTATAAGAAAGTATAATAATATATATGCAATGTGTGTGTGTGTGGGGTATAGGGTTTTACTTAAGCCAACCATTTATAATATTAATTATAAATATAAATTATACAATAGTGTATCAAAAACGTTGTTATATGACAAATTCTAATCCGGTACGTGTATGCGTGAATAAAACTTGACGAAGAAGAAAGGAGTACGCGCGCGCGTGGTTTTTTTTTTTTTTTTTTTTTGAGTGAAGAAGAAAACTCTTTTCCTACGAGAAGCGGGAAAGAAATCAAAAGAAAGCAAAGAAAGGTAAAAAGACCAGAATCCGCTGACGGAAGCCATGACACAAATACAAATTGGACGGAAGCCATGACACAAGTAAAAATTAGGTGTGGAAAGGAAAATTGCCTATGCTGACTTCTTACTTCTTAGCATATGCGGTTGGTTAGACCAAGCTGTAAGAGACAATATGAACAAATTCAAAATTTTTTAGGGTCCGATTTGATAGTTTAGATATATTTTTTTTACTCAGAATTTATTTGGGCCATTCAAATAAATCTAAAAAAAATTGAGTTAAGCCTAAACGAACTTAGCTCAAATATATAAATGTCTTTTTATTATTGATTAAATAATATAAAAATAAGATAAAAATTTATTTTTAAAAAAATAAAAATTGAAATTACATAAAAATAAAAAAATTGTTGTAAAATATAATTAATATGAAGAGTAGAGAAAAACAAGATAATACAAGAAATGGAGAGAAAATAATAGAGGAGAATTCTTATTCACTAGCATACGTATACTTTGGACATAACCTCTATTTATAGGCATCCAACCATTCAAATCTTATCCTAATATTACAAAGATATAATGAAACATATCATGGTACATTATATAACCTTTGAAGGTTATAAGCTATTAAGATTAAGAAACTCCTTCCATACTATTCATAAAGACATTAAGGATAAAGGAGTTTTAAGAACTATGAATTATATATATTCATAACATAATATTTAAAATAAAAAATAAAGTAAAATAATATTTAATAATTTGAATATTCAAAAAGCCCATAAGCGTCATCAAAGGTATGGTTTGGTTTAATTTTGATCAAAATATGAAGCAAACCAAACTGTACCAAACTATACCAATCAATTTACATAAAGAATAACATTTGATGGATTTTTTATTAAAGTCGGTTTGGTTCAGTTTCTAAGTTTGTAAGCATTCCAAAGGCATCAAAGTATCATTTTGCCAACAAGAAGCATAAAAATATTTAAAATTTAGTTTTTATATGCACATTAATTGAGAAACATCATCTAAGGACTCTATAATATCTTAATATCAAAGAAAAACCTTTAAAAAATATTAATACATTTCTTTAAGACCTATTTGAAAATAAGATTTTAAAAAAAGACTTAATTATCCTTGTAGCATTTTACAAGTTTTGCTTTTGTATATATAACAAAAAATTCAATTATAAATAATAAATCATGCCTATAAATGTTTTTAATTTATTCATAAACAAATGTTCACTTGTTCATTATGTATAATAATTTGTTAAAAATTAAATACTTTATTTTTTATACCAGAGACTTGTAAAATGCTTCAAGAATAATTAGACCCTTTCTCTCAAAATCTTCTTTTCAAATATGTATCAAGGGTGCATTGATATTTCATATTTTTATGGCCTTTCTTTAATATTAAAACAATATTAGGGTTCTTAGATGATATTTTGTGTGTAAAATTTTATATTCAATCTTATATACTTGATATAATTTTAATTAATTAAGTTAAGACAAATAAATTTTAATGAGTTAATAATATTAATAATAATAATTTATCATAAAAAGAATTATCTATAAAAAAAATCTCTGTTATAATTTCATCTGAAACAATCACGTTGGATGTATAAGTATGTGTATATACTAGTTTTTCCCTTATATTTATTTACACATGATTAGAGAAAATTTAAGATTTAATATAAATTGCAATTAATAATACACCTTAATTTGATTATTTATTATATAATTATAAGTTTTTATATATTATTTTTATTTTTTATTGACCTAGAATTTTTCACCGCCTCACTTTCTGCAGCTGTGGATCCCGTCCTACTTCTAGCCTCCATCTTCCAGACTGTTCCGAACTTTTCCCTATAAATTGAGGCATTCGAGACTTTCTTCCTCACTCCTGCATTTCTCTCCATTGTCATTTCTTCTTCTTGAGCATTTGGTGACTATTTTATTTCACAGTAATGGCGAATGAGGTGGTTCTGTTGGATTTCTGGCCAAGCCCCTTTGGGATGAGGATTAGAATTGCACTTGCTGAGAAATGTATCCAGTACGAGTATAAAGATGAGGACTTGAGGAACAAGAGCCCTCTGCTTCTTCAAATGAACCCGATTCACAAGAAGATCCCCGTTCTCATTCACAATGGCAAACCCATCTGTGAGTCTCTTATCGCTGTTCAGTACATTGACGAGGTCTGGAACCACAAATCCCCTTTGCTTCCTTCCGATCCTTATCACAGAGCCCAAGCTCGATTCTGGGCTGACTTCGTTGACAAGAAGGTTTGTTTCTCTGTTTCACTATTTAGATTGCAATGATTTCTGCCCCTTGTTTAAATACAGATGACATGTCTTCGTTGGTTTGCTTCTTGTTTTCTCGTTAGCTTTCATGTTGACGATTTTGACGGAATACTAGAAATGAATTTGGCTTTTTTTTGCATGACTGGGTGATTAGTGAATAAAATACGGATAATATATAATATTGGAGCCTCGTTTATTGTCTTTAAATACGGATATTATATAATATTGGAGCCTCTTTTGTTGTCTTTATTTTTCTAAAGATTTTGCAAATCATGTTGATTTCTCTTGTGTTTGAATGTTAATGGGAACCCATGCTTGCTGAGTCTCACCGAGTCATGTGACTGACTACTGCATTTGGAAGTTCTGCTATTTACATGCCTTCGCAATGTTTACTAGCGCAAGAAGAAAACGATTTGGGAAATTATTTACTTACTTAATATAAAAATGTTTTCAGTTCAGTACGAATAACTTGTGAGGGACTGACTCTTTTCCCATCATTGTATTGTTTCTTTAGGAGAAAAGTGAGTGTGACTGGTAATTTAGTTTACGTGTCTAAGTTGTTAATTTGGAACAGATTCATGATGTGGGAAGGAGACTGTGGACAGCCAAAGGAGAAGAGCAAGAAGCTGCAAAGAAGGAGTTCATAGAGAGCCTGAAATTGTTGGAGGAGCAGCTGGGAGACAAGCCATACTTTGGAGGGGACAACCTTGGATATGTGGATGTGGCACTCGTTCCATTTTACAGTTGGTTTGAAGCCTATGAGACATTTAGTAACCTTAAGATAGAGGCCGAGTGCCCCAAATTTATTGCCTGGGCAAAAAGATGCATGCAGAAAGAGAGTGTGTCCAAGTCTATTCCTGATCAGCATAAGGTCTATGAGTTTGTGCTTCAGATGAGAAAGAGGTTTGGCATTGAGTAGCTTCCTTCATAGAAGACAAATGATCTTTCAGTAATCATTTGCTTTACCTTCTGAATAGTAATTTTATAATAATGATATGGCAGTTTGGTGGGCCATGCTACATGTTTTTCTTTCTCAGTGGGGTGTTTGTTGCTTTTTGATTGGGATTTGGTCTCTGTTATGTCTGTCTCATTGTATCATGTTTTGTTGGTTGTTATTACAGTGTACCATTATTTCCTGCATGTGTAACTGGACTTGGCTCAACCGAAGCTTGCAAGTGCATCTATAATCTTTTTTTTTTGTTTTTGACCAACAGTGCTTCTATAATCTTTCTCGAAGCAAATTTCGGTGAAGCCTTTTTTTTTTTTTTTGGGGGGGGTGTCAAGCAGAGAACTTTTTCATGACAAGAAGAAGCAGAATCTCCTGCTGTTAAATGAGCTAATGTTTTTGAAGTTAAACGTTGCCCTTCTATCAATAAATTTCTACCATGAACAAAGGATAATAGCCTGGACAACCGAATCAGCCCAGAATCAACAAGTTGAAATTGAGCAAATGAGTAATTAATTAAGTTGTTGCTCCATTATGTACCCCCCCCCCCAAAAAAAAAAAAGGTTGTTGCTCTGAAATTATCTGGTACATGGACAATCAGCCCATCGAAGTTGGGAGGGAAGGAAACTTCGTTTTCTTTTTGGCCCTGTTTCCTTATTAGAATAGGATAAAATAAGATAAATTGAATAAATAAAAATAAAAATAAAATGATTAAGGAGTATAAGTGAGTGCATTGATAAAGGAAAAGGATAATTTAATTTATAAAGTTGAGAATTATAATTTATAAAATTTTTAAAAGGTAAGATGATTTTTACATCTGTAGTATATATTAAAAATTTTATCATACTTATTATAGAAGAAAAAATGATTTAATTTATTTTGATCATATGTTTTTTTTAATTCATTACGTTTAATTCATTTTTAATATCTATACGGGACCTTTGCAACATGAGGGAAGAGAAATAAAGAGACAAAAGAAACTAAAAAAGTTTAAAAAGAAAGACTCATCTATGTTTTGCTGACTGAAGCCATGACGCAATGGAAAGGTGAAATTTCTAATTAGAGTTGAAGTGTTGAGCCCGCGTTTAAAAAAAAATGAAATCATATATTATTGCTTTAATTTTGTCTTACGTTTTTTAATAATAAATATATTTTGTAATTGTTTCAATTTTATGAAAATTATTTTTAAAATATTCCAGAATTTTTTACAAAATTATGAAGTATAGAAAAATTAGATTATATATCTATATATATTAAAATTGAAAATGAAAACGAATAAAGTAATTTTAGTTTCAAAATTTGCACTTCACCGCTCACGTCTCTGTAGCATATATGATATTATCTCATCAGCATAGCAATGTAATTACATTTATTCCTATTAATATGTGTGCGAGAATTCTTTACATTTGCTTTTCAAGCCCGTTTTCGCAGGTCTGTCACCATTGTCTGAAAAGTTATGTGATGGCATTTGCTGTGAGTTTTTTTTTTTTTTTTAATACAAGAATACAAAATACCTGTGTAAAGGTTGAACAAAATTAAGTTATGTCAGATTTCATAAGGAATTTATATTTTAAGGGTGGATGATTATAAATAATAAGATAATCTTAAGAGGCATGGTGAGCGAGTGTGTCTTCACATCTGTTTGTTTTACAAAACATATGATTAAAAGAAATAATTCAATCTTTTATGATCTATCAAAGAGAGGATGGGTATGAAGAAAGTTATACTGGATAAGCAAGAACGCTTTCACAAAATTAAAATAAATGTTAATTTTATTGAATCAAGCATTCCAACAAAATTAAAATCTTTTTAAAATGTCCTAGAGTTCTGCTGTGGTGTGGGGTTGATAATTGAGGTATTTGAAAAATTCCTTAATCGAACTATCTTTATCATGATTCTACCACATTTGTTGTGAGTTTGGAATCGGTAAAGCTACAAAGATACATGTCTATAATAAGAACTTTTTTTTAATTTCTATTTGTAGACAAAAACTGAATGAAAAAAAAAATCAAATCAAATTGTCTGCAAACTCGACTATTAAACTGGCAAATTTGCCTGTGGCTGGGTACATATTTGACTCACTTGGCTTTGGCTTTGATCAAGAACATTCAATAATATATAGGAGTGTCCTAACTTGAAAGATAAGGGAAGGACTCACAACAGCTCCAATTATACTCGAATACAGAGATGTGGCCAAAATAAGGAGAAAAAAAAGGGTACAGAGATGTGGACATGTTTGTTGATTCATCGTTTAACACAAGGGATCAGGACAAGCATGCACGACGCTTGCAGTCCGATTCCGAAGTCTCACTCAATTCCAAACCTTTTCTTGATCTACAACACAAAGTCATAGACTTTAAAGGGATCGGGGAGGGTTTCTGAAACACTTTCCCTCTGATAGCACCTTTTCACCCATTACATGAACCTTGGGCATTGATATTCAACACTGAATTTGCAGATGTTGTCGTTGGTATAAAACCTACAAGTGATTGGTATTAAGGCGGTGTCCAAAAGTCCAAAACGATCGCCTTCAAAATAAAGCTTGTCTCCGAGTTCATTTTCCAGGAGTCTCAAGCACTCTCTGAACTCCTCCTTTCCACCCTCTTGCACTTCTCCCTTGCTAACCCACATCTTCCTACCACAATCAGCTATCTGTGAAACACATTTATATCATATGGCAGAATATTGAAGTCATCCTAATGGATCTCAGAGAGGAATCTAAACCTTTTGTCAAAGAAATCAATCCAGAACCTTGCTTTGGCTCGCTTGTGAGCATCATCAGAGAGAAAGCGGGATCTGTGATTCCAAACCTCATCAATATATTGAAGGATGATAAGGGACTCGCAGATGGGCTTCCCATTGTGAATGAGTACTGAAACTTTCTCGTGAATGGGATTTGATCTGAGAAGCAAGTGGCTCTTGTTTAGATTCTCGAATATATCTACTACTTCTTTGTACTGAAATTTAATTCCTTTCTCCAGCAGAGCAATCTTCACTCTCGTGACATAAGGACTGATCCAGAACCCCAAAAGCATTACTTGTTCCATTTCTGCAGAGTATATTTTCTGTCTTGTATAAATAATACAAAATAAACAGGCCGGTTTCGAGGAAGCTAGACATTTCTTTTTTTTTTTAAAAAAAGTCTGTGGGATGAGTCTTTGACGAGAAACCAAAGAAGACTAGGGAATAGCTTATCTGCAATTTAATATCCATAAATGATCAATAGATTAAACTTGAAATCTCGTATTCAGATGTAATAGTAAAGGTAAAGTGTGCAATACAATGATCTCAATTTTGATGAGTATAGGCCCAAAAGAAAATTTCGGGGAAAACAGTAGAGCATCCATTGAGCATTTATGTATGTTTCCACCAATTAAGGTCAAGCGCAGAATGATAAAAGTACTTTATTTGGCAGAAATGATGACGACATATTCACTATTTTATCATCACCAGGATTTACCACAGTATTTGACAGATGCTAATCTAATGGAAGTGTCCTAACAGATTATAATATCGTAATTTAATCTCTTATGACATATTTAATTTCGGAATGCAAAATCTTATTTTTATAAAATAAAGACTGCCCTTTATGTGATAACATCACATTAATCGCTTTCAATATTATTGATGGTTTATGGTAATGATAAAATTAATTTTGAATTGATTGTCAATATTAAAAGCCTAAAACTATTACCAACTGAACTGAACATGCACAGGATAAGGAAGAAGATTCATCTAAAGAGGAAGAGGAGGAGGCGGCTGTTGAAGCCAGACAAAAGCACATTATGATGTGCACAAAGCATTTACTTGGTATAAAGTAGAAGATGACAGATTATCCAGCAACTCAATCCCATAATTCTCCACTAAATATTGTATTTTATAGGGCACTTTTGTGTTATTATCCATCCACTATGGATGTTGTTAAAGTTCTGTACATCAGGGCTCTAACATAAAAATATGTTATATTATTAATCCATAATCAAATGACACACGCATGCTAATCATGTCTCAGTTCTAAATAAGCAAAAGAAAACAGAGTCCTCTTGTTACAGTTGGAAACTACCCCACCGTTCAATAAAAATGAAAAATCAGAGATTGGAGTTCAGTTTCAGTATTTCACCATCATGTCATTATAGCAGAAATCCAAGTGCATTGAGATTTGAGACGAGTAGTCTACGAGAGAAATGACTGCTTACTCTGGAGACGTAAACAATAAACAGAGCAGAATTCGTACTAGAGTTACCATATTGGGAGATCCATCAACAATGGTGGAGATTTTCTGACCCAAAGAAAAAAAAAACACAATGGTGGAGATTTCCTGACCCAAAAGAAAAAAAAAACAATGGTGGAGATTGTCATGCAAGACCCGTCGACGTCTTGTCTCTGCAATCTACACCGTTTCGTTGTGATCCCGTCAATCCCATCTGTCAAACACAAACGGTAGTGTGATGCTGTTATCAGTGCAAGGCGATGGATTTCCAGAACAACGAGGAGGAGGAGGAGGAAGAGCAAATAAAACAGAGCAGATCAGAGCAATCAGTTTCACCTTTTTTTCCTATCTGGTTGTTAAGTTAGATCTCTGTCACTGTATCGTCTGTCTCTATCTCTTCTTTCCCTTATCCTTCAGTGGATGCATAGGATCAGGAAAAAACGATTTATGTAAAGAGGAAGAGAAGGAAGAGGCGGCTATGATTATTGAAGTCGACAAAAGGACATTGTGAAGCACAAAGCATTTACTTCGTCTAAGTGCAAGATGCCAAATTATCCAGCAACTAAATTCCATAATTCTCCACTTAGTATTGTATTTTATAGTACACTATTGTATTACCCATCCACTATGCTAAATAATTTAAAATAAATTGTCCTGCATCAATGTTGTAAAAGTTATGTATACCTGGGATTTATCATAATATATGTTATTAATGCATAATCGGGTGATACACAGTGGATTGTACACATGCTAATGATATACTCGTCCTAATTTTTAAACAAGCAAAAGAAAACAATATTCGAAATTGGAGTTGAATTTCAGTATCTCAGCATCGTGTCAATATAGCAGAAACCCAAGAGCGCCCAAATGCCTTGACATGAGTAGTCTTGGAGATAATAATTCCGAGAGTACGATATCGAGACTTAGACAAGAAACAATGCAAAATTCGTAACAGATTATCATAACATTGGCGGAGATTGTCATGTAAATATTTCCACTCACCAGCTCTGCAAACTACACCTTTCGTTGTGTTCTTGTCAGACACAAATGATAGCGCTATCAGTGCACGAGAACGCATGGCGGTGCATTTCCAGAAGAACGAGGAGGAGGAGGGGGAGAACAAATAGAACAGAAAACGCAACAGGACAAAGCAACTAGTATCACCCACTTCGCTGTCAATTGTTTTTGTTACCTCTGCTCTCTTCCTATTTGGCCGTTAAGTTAGGTCTCTGTCACTGTATCGTCTGTCTGTCTCTCTTTTTGTCCTTACCATCTCGTTCGGTTTGCATTGCCTTTGTAAGTCTGTATTTCTCTCAAAATAATAAAGGTTCAACTCCATTTGGCCTTGTTCATTCGGTCCTTCTCACCGCCAAGCCCTCTCTTCCTTACATTTTCTTCTCTCTTTCTTTGTCAAAATCTGCCATGTCTTTCTTGCATCTGAGAAAAATTTCTCAAATTTATGGTTGTTCCAATTCCCAAATGTATTTTTGATTCAAAATCAGCTGATCACTTCTTTTGGTACTCAATAAAGCCAACCCTGTATGCTTTTCGCTTTTTCTTACCGAAAATGGGTTCAGAGAGGAATTTCCACATCCAAAAGGGCTTTTACTTGATGATGGTAATTTGTTTTGGTGTGGTCCAAGTAAGTTCGATTAATGAAGATGGTTCGATTCTTTTGGAGTTTAAAGGATTTCTTTCTGACCCACAAGACAGTCTTCATGATTGGAATTCTTCTGATTTGACTCCTTGCAATTGGACTGGCGTGCATTGCAATGATTCAGTGGTAACTTCTATCAGTCTTTATCACCTTAATCTATCTGGCTCTTTATCTCCAATCATCTGCAACCTTCCTCATCTGGTTGAGTTGAATCTGTCAAAGAATTTCATTTCTGGCCCTATTCCTGTTAATTTTGTTAATTGCAGTAGTCTAGAAATATTAGACCTTTGTGCAAATAAATTTCATGGACAGCTTCAGAACCCTATGTGCCAAATCATCTCACTAAGAAAGCTCTATCTGTGCGAAAATTTAATGTACGGTGAAGTGCCGGAAGAGATTGGGAATTTGATTTCCCTTGAAGAGCTAGTCATTTATAGCAATAATTTAACCGGAAGAATTCCTGCGTCAATAAGTCAATTGAAGCAACTAAAGATTATCAAGGCAGGCTTCAATAGTCTCTTAGGCCCAATACCTGCAGAAATTAGTCAGTGTGAGAGCTTGGAGTTGTTAGGATTGGCACAGAATCAGCTAGAAGGTTCAATTCCAAGGGAGCTTCATAACCTTCAAAACCTTACTGCTATAATTTTGTACCAAAACCTTTTATCTGGAGAGATTCCCCCGGAAATTGGAAATAGCAGTAGGTTGGAACTACTAGCTTTGCATGAAAATTTGTTCAGTGGATCTATTCCGAAGGAGCTGGGAAAGTTATCTCACTTACAAAGGTTGTATCTATACACCAACCACTTGAATGGGACGATTCCTTCCGAGCTAGGGAACCTAACAAGTGCTAAGGAGATAGATCTTTCTGAGAACTTTTGAGTGGTATTATTCCTCTAGAGTTGGGGCAGATCTCTAATCTTGGATTGCTTCATCTATTTGAAAACCTTCTGCAGGGAGAAATCCCTAGGGACCTTGGGCAGCTACGGCTACTCAATACTTTAGATTTGTCAATAAATAACTTAACAGGTACAATTCCATTAGAGTTTCAAAATCTTACATACATGGAGGATTTGCAGCTGTTTGACAATCAACTTGAGGGTAAGATTCCTCCTGATCTTGGAGCTACAAGCAACCTCAGTGTTCTTGATTTATCTGCTAACAATCTTGCTGGCATGATACCTGCCCATCTTTGCAAATATCAGGAACTGAAATTTCTAAGCCTTGGGTCAAATTGGTTGTCTGGAAATATTCCTGATGATCTGAAAACTTGCAAGTCACTTGTGCAACTTATGCTGGGGAACAACAAGTTGACAGGAGGCCTCCCTGTTGAATTGAATGAACTTCATAATCTTTCTGCACTGGAACTTCATCAAAATCGGTTCTCTGGGCAAATAAACCCAGGGATAGGTCAACTCCAGAGTTTGGTGAGGCTTCTCTTATCAGATAATTATTTTTTTGGGCATCTACCTCTTGAGATTGGAAAATTAGCACAGCTTGTCTCATTCAATGTTTCCTCTAATCTTCTAAGTGGAAGTATTCCTAATGAATTAGGAAACTGTGTAAAACTACAGAGGCTTGATCTTAGCAAGAATCAATTCACAGGCACCCTTCCAGATGAAATTGGCTGGCTGGTGAACTTGGAATTGTTGAAACTTTCTGATAATAAATTTTCAGGCGCAATACCAAGCACTTTAGGGGATCTTACTCGGCTCACAGAGCTGGAGCTTGGTGGTAACTTGTTGTCAGGGAGCATTCCTTTTCATTTGGGAGGACTTGCTGCTCTTCAGATTGCCCTTAACATGAGCCATAACAAACTATCTGGTGTAATTCCTGACAGCTTGGGGAACTTACAGATGTTGGAATTCCTTTATTTAAATGACAATGAGCTAGTTGGTGAAATTCCAACCTCAATAGGTGACTTGCCCAGCCTTTTGGTTTGCAATGTTTCTAACAATAACTTGACTGGAACTGTTCCAAACACTCCTGCATTTCAGAGGATGGATTTCACAAATTTTGCTGGAAACAATGGATTATGCCGAGTAGGTTCCTATTATTGTCATTCATCCAAATCTCCCCCATCTACTCCAAAACAAAGTTGGACTAGAGATGGTTCTTCAAGGGAGAAGATAGTGAGTATTGTTTCGGGTGTAGTTGGATTGGTTTCTCTTACATTCATAGTCTGTATATGTCGTTCTATGAAGCGCAGTAGCCCCACTTTTGTCTCCTTAGAAAGGCAAACAATGCCCCACGCCCTAAATGACTATTATTTTCCTAAAGAAGGTTTTACATACCAGGATATCTTGGAAGCCACTGGTAATTTTTCTGAAGCTGCAATTATAGGAAATGGAGCATGTGGCGTCGTCTACAAGGCTATTATGGCTGATGGTGAGGTGATTGCTGTCAAAAAGCTGAATTCTTGTGGAGAAGGAGCAAATGTTGACAGAAGCTTTCTTGCAGAGATTTCAACCCTTGGAAAGATCAGGCACAGGAATATTGTGAAGCTGTATGGATTTTGTTACCACGAGGATTCCAAGATTCTCTTATATGAGTACATGGAAAATGGCAGCCTCGGGGAACAACTCCATGCAAATAAAATATCATGTCTACTGGATTGGAATTGTCGATATGAGATTGCTCTTGGGGCTGCGAAAGGCTTGTGCTATCTCCATTATGACTGCAAACCCCAAATCATTCACCGTGATATAAAGTCAAACAACATACTACTTGATGAAAATTTTCAGGCACACGTTGGAGACTTTGGCTTGGCAAAGTTGATTGACTTTTCATATTCAAAATCCATGTCCGCTGTGGCCGGTTCATATGGCTACATTGCTCCTGGTAAGTAATTGAATGGAAAAGTACTTTTTTTTTTTTTTTTAACTTACTACAATTCTAAATGCCGAAATTATATTATCTCCCTGCCTTGACTCCCGAAGCTTTCTTAAACTGAAGTTTGGTCGGTCATAAAATGTCAAAAATTGGTTTTAACAATTTCGTTCTTTGTGAACGTTGTTATTATTTTTCAGAGTATGCTTACACCATGAAGGTGACTGAGAAATGTGACATCTATAGCTTTGGGGTAGTTTTGTTGGAACTAGTCACTGGCTGTTCACCAGTTCAACCGCTGGAACAGGGTGGTGATTTGGTGACTCGGGTGAGAAGAGCAATTCAAGAAGCAGTGCCGACATCAGAACTATTTGACAAGCGTCTGAATCTGAGTGAACATAGAACAATTGAAGAGATGTCTCTTATTCTCAAAATTGCATTGTTCTGCACCAGTGTGTCTCCTCTTAATAGGCCAACAATGAAAGAAGTCATTATGATGTTGGTCGATGCTAGAAAGCATGTCAGCAATTCTCCCTCAATCCCTACATAAGAATCCCCGCATGACAGTGGTGCATCTTTCAAAGGTTAAAAAACTCGGTTAATTGGAATCATATTTTAGAATATTAATTATTATTAATGATAGATATGTTATCAAAATAATAAGCTTCGGTATAAAATGTGAGCAGGGTTCATTGAGGATGAATTCACCTCGTTCATTTTGCCATGAGTTGTAAAAAGGTTATTTCTCTAAATTTGCTTTTTTTTTTTTCTTTGCTTCATGTTTCAGTTTTCTCAGGAACATGTAGTGTTTCTGCAGATAATATAGTGCTGGAAGATCCGTGAATATTGTCTTATATCAATAATACATAGAAAACTACCAATGTATCAGTGAGTTACAAAATGAATTATCTGTACCATACTCTTTCTTTAAAAGGAGAGGAGAAATTGATTTATTTAGGCTAAATATTGGTTCTTAGGATCTTAGTTCTCTTTAAGGGACAAGGGGGGGGGGGGTTGTTAACTAAAACGAGAGGAAGAACTAGTTTTTATGAGAAGTAATATTAGAATTTTCTAGCCTCTTTGAAGGACGATTCGAACCAAGAAAAATAAAAACGTGGCACATCAACATTTACTTTGTTTATTTAATTATTTTAGGCCATAAAGGAAAATCGGAACTTGGCCACATACTGAGCAAGTGAGCAGTAGGCCTCCGTGAATCGAAGAGAGGAAGGGAAAAAAGAGGCGAATAAATTGTTAGTGCAGCGGAGTTGAAATTTCAGTGTTTGATTCCAAACTTAAACCTTATTTATTTATTTATTTTGCGGAAATTTCAAGTCTTATTATGATGTCATAAATTATAGGGCTTATAATTATAGTTGATTAGATATCCTTATAATTATAGTTGATTAGATATCATTAGGTTCATTTAAGTAAGATGCCTGATATTTGAATCATATATCACAACCAACCAGTCTGATTGACGAAAATAACTAGTAGTTCACTTAGCTCAAATAAAACAATGATAAATTAGTAGAAGGTGATGGCTTTAATAATTGCTTTAACACTTCACACAGGCAAAGGCGTAAAGTCTAATGGCAAGTGTATCAAGGAAATAAAATTGAAAAATAAGAAGATTTTGTACGTTCACAAATTCTAAATAAAATACAAACAATCAAGCAGATGATAGAATCATCGAAGAGAAACACATTCTTTCACACACTAACGTAGTTTGCCAAAATAAAAACCTATACAAGAAATTTGAAGATAATTAAGCCGAGTCCATCTGAATACGGAAACCAAACCAACGAGGAACAAACATGTGAGATCATGAAACCCAGCACTCACGTGGCTATTCTATATTGGCTTAGCCTATCCAGGAAATTGTCTTCAACTTTGCTTTCAAAAACTCGGTTTGACTGTTGTTCCTGCATTCCACCCCCTTTCCTTTTCTTTTTGACTATTCTTTTGCTGAGTTTCTTCTGTCCCATTTCTTCTACCATTTTTCTGCAATCCCCTCTTTGCCATCATCCTCCCTTGACTCCCAATGGACACTCTTACTTTCTCCATGCCTACATTTACACCAACCCTTCTCATATGCTGCTGGATTGGCGACTTGGTCTGAATCTTCTTGTATAAGCTTCGCCTTAGCATGCTTCCTCTCTTCTTACTTCCACTTTTCATTCTTTGTTTAGGACTCTCAAGATGTGTCTGTGCAGCCAAACAGTTTCCCGCTTCGCCATTGCTTTCTTTCTCCTCAGCTCTACTTTCTAACACTGGCACTATTGGTGATGTGAGGTGAGGCAAGCTAGGCACACTTGGGAGGGGTATCAGAGAGTTTCGCCTTAAAGTAGGAACTAAAGGAATACGTGGAGTCATTGTGCAGATAGAAGCTCTTCCAGTTCTTTTAGGCAATACAAATTTATCAACTATATCAGGATTGTTCTCTTTTTCAGCGTGATCAATGCACTTGACAGAGTTATCCAACGTTGTAAAGGGCATTGAGGGTTGTTTTAAGCTATTGTTCTCCGTAAGTGGTCTGGTTAAACCCATTAGATCGTTAAAGTTCTTGTGAGTTCCTGGTGGTTTATTTGCAAGTGCTGATCTCATAGGTGTATTTGTTTGTTCTTGATGTTTAAGCAGATGCTGCTCAGCTATCTTTGAGTCTACATGTTGGCGGGCTAGCTTTCTCTCAATCAAAAGTTGTGCTTCCAACTCCTTGACCTTAACCAACACATATGATGCTAAGAAGGACATTTAAAAGTAAAATTAAAATATTATGTGTTCCAATATAATACCTTGTCTTGTAGACTTTTGGTTTTAATATCCCTCTCCTTTATCTTTGAATCTAATCCATGAATTGTTTCCTCCATTTTCTTGATTTGCAAATCCTTAATCTTCATCTCTTGCTTGGTTTTCTCAGCCTGACAAAATAGTTAAATTGTTGAAAATGCAATAGATGAAACAAAGGAAGTGGAAAATAAAAAGGTACGAAGCAGTCATACCAGTTGTTTGAATTTGACAAGTTCAGTATGGTCCAATTGCCTTTTTGCGGGCCCTAATTCTATTCCCCTCACTCTACTAGCAAAGTTCAGAGAGCAAATTGTCTCACTTAAATCATTTTCGGTAGGACTAATCTGTACAAACATGAGCGTCTTCGAATCTCCTCCTAAAAAGCAAGTTAATTGGTCAAATTTCTATAATAATATTTGCTTGCACAAATATGGAGATAAAACTTATGTATACATGCAAATGAAGCAAATCTCAAAAAACCAGAAGTACCTAAGGAGTCTTGCAGCAAGTGTGTAAGTTTGGAATTTCTGCAGCGCAAAGAATAACATAAACTTCAATACTAACAGCAAACAATATGGGGCGTTCGTTTCAATATTTATATTTGTAATCAGAGCTGATATTTATTTTGATTACCTGAAAGGAACATGTGAGCACTTTGTTGCAAGGGCTGATATAACATCTCCTAGTGCAGACAGTGACCTGTTAATATTCTGAGTTTCCTTGAGTCGTTCCCCTTGCACTTCTGTTTTAGCCACTCGCTCGCTGCCTGCCAGGTCTACTAGCCACAACTTGCTTCTTGTGCATTCCCCATTCAACAAATTCTCCCCCTTAACCATAACACAGTGAATGCTGTGTAGAGGAGGAAGAATCCATCATAAGCAGTTAGGCACTACTTTTCTAACATGACATGCATAGTAAGAGGCAATTTAAAGGAAAGTGTTTTGTGATGTAGTTCTTCAATAGAATTGCAACACTTGACACCTAAAGAAATTTCCCATATATATTTATACCTAAAAAACTGATAGAAAACACCAAAGAAACTTCACCCAAGTCTTGTCTTTAAAATTTCAAGATTTCAACTTATATTAAACATAAATCTGACCAGTGGGATCGGCTGCTGTGCTCATTGGCATTGGTTGAGCTAACAGCCCTTGCGTTGCTGCCAGTTTGTAGGACTTCCCAGACTTCAGTCATATTCTTCACGTGTGCCTCTACCAATCCTGGAACGTGGTGCATTCCTTCGCCTGCTTGCCTTATTTCAAGCCTATATATAACCCAATATTAGTGAATATATCCAGCTATTAATCTGAAAATCAATCAGAAGAAGCTGAAGAGGGTTCATTTGAAGGGCGTCGAAATGAACATGACATAAATGGCAAAGTGACTTGGAAGCGACCTTCTTGCAGCTACTCCAAGCTGATTTCCTGAGACAAGCAAGTCTCTTATTTGCTCATTGTAGACTTCTAACACACTTACAGAGACATCATAGCGATATAGCTTGTGTCTCTCGTTGATTATGTCAAACATTTTCTCAAGAGTCCTGAAATTAACTCCACGTGCCTCTTTTGTACCTTCCATTGTAAATGTTTTTCCTGTTCCAGTCTGCCCGTAAGCAAAGATGCATACATTATACCCATCTAGAACTGAGGTTGCAAATGGTGCTGTGTCTTCAAATATGTCGGCTATTTGTATGCAAAACAGAAAAAGCAAAAGGTGGCCAAAATGAGTCTTAAACCTTAAAAATGTCACGGAGTATTCATGGCATATTGATTCATAATTACCTTGATCTGCTTGGGGCCCAAAAACAGCATCAAACTTGAAAGTCTTTCTAGGAGCCCCATTTGACAGTACAGTAAGCTCACCATCTTTTGCTGCTTCGAAATCTATTACCATTCTTGCCTCGTCTGTCATCTCTTCAGCATTAAGAGGCCTACACCGGCAAAAGACCCTAATGTTTCCTGTGAGGAAGAATATTTTGTAAGTCATTCTAAATTACTCTATTATATGAGTCTATAATCAAGAATTAAAGATCAAGTTCAAGCTTGCCTTTCAACTCCAAAACCTTATTGTAAAGTTCTTTTTGTTTCTTCGAGCCTTCTAGATATTTAGACCTGAGATCTTCGTGGAACTCTAGCTGCTCATGTACTATAAAGAGTGGAATAAGAATAGTGAAAATGTGACCTTCAACTAGCATAAAGATTTGAAACTGAAACGACTTCGTATCTACTTACTCTTGGACTTGATAGTAGTCCCCATTTCACTCATATCTGCAAGATACTTCTTATATGTCTCTACTTCCTCTGAAAGTGTGATTTGGTCCATTTTCATAATCTGTACAATGAAATTGCTTATCAGTTTACCACAATATAAGTTAGTTTTTTCCTGCTTAATTTTGTTAATTAATTAATTAATTTTTTTTCAAAATATCAGTACCTTTACTTTCCTCATCAAGTCTCTCAGGGAGGAAAACCACCTACTTTTTTCTTTTACTTGCCCTTCAATGGCAAATGCTGCAAGTATGGAAGTCTCAATAATACATCATATCAGATGAGCATAATATTAGCTGATAACTCATAAGAATCTGAAAAAGGTAAGCATACCCAATGATCCTACATGCATGGACTTGCGCATGAGTTCATTCTGAAGATCTTGCAAAGACTTCCATGCTTCTTGGCATTCTCTATTCTTCTGTTGATTCTCCCTTTTGAGTTCCTCCAACATCCTCCTGGCTTCCGCCAGCTCCTTTTTCTGACACTCAAACTCCCTTCTCAGCTTCCGAATATCCTCTTCTCCCTCGTTATCTCCTCTATCCTACAATAACAACATTGAGTGCGCAATGAAACACTCTAAATTTCATCCTTGGGATACAAAAATGATACTGGTTGGAAAGAAGCATACATCTAGAGAATCCAATTCTGCCCCCTGTGACACTTCCATATCTTCTAGAAATCCATTTTCTCCTGTATTTAAAGTAGAATCTTGTTAAAAAAAATAACACAGCTGTATTCTAAAATCTCCATCCATGGTAGAGAAAGCAAAAATGTCACTAACTAGGAGGGAAGTCTTGAGGCGACTTATTGGTGACTTCAGGGGGTGGGAAAAGCTCAAAAGAGGCTTCAGGAGACAATTCTTTGAAGGTTTCGCACGGCATAGAGAATTTCACGGTTGGAATCTTCCGAGGCTTTTCAACATCAGACCCATTAATTCCATTCTCTAAAGAAAGCTCCATAGGCGACTCCACTTTTTGACGAGATTTTCTTTCCGACATTTCAGGGGATTCCATGGCAATATCTGGTAAGCCAGCGCAGATGACCAAATCAGGGGTCGTTAAAGAATATCCTAACAGTGATCTGCCTGAAAAATTCGTCCCCAATTCGGTCAGATTTGAAAAATCTAATATCTGTAGGGGATTAAGTTGTGTGGAACAAAGCAAGAAATGGGCTCTCTTACCATCAACCATATTTTTCGCTATTGGGTCTTCGAATTGCACATCTTTTTTGTCAAACTCTCGTCTTTTCCAAGAAAATTCTACACCAGTAAATCAAAACCATGATGGTTAATGAAAAGCTCCAAGTTGGGTTCATCAACATCGAGAGAGTATCGATCTTTCTTATATATTACGGAGTCTTACGGTCATTGGAGCTGCCCTGCCATTCAGTATCTGCCATTGTGGGACTTTGAGAGCTCAGTGATGGTTGTGAATTGTCTGCCAAATCAATGACAAAAAAATTACCGACAAACCAAGACGGCCCAACAACAGACAAAGCTAAGTTTAAAATCATGGTGCAGAGTTCTTACAAATGGAGTGAATAGAAGAGTTTTCTTGTTGCAAAGAGGCGTCTGTGAGAAGAAGTGGGTCGTAAAGATGCCATTGACTACGATCATCCATCGATAAAATAACAACTGATTGAATTTAGAGCAATAATAACAATCAAAGCGTAAAGGAGTCACTACTGACTACTGCTTTTACCTCGTTAGTTGAGGGGGAGAGAAAAAGAAGAAAGAAAAGCGAGTTTTCTCTGAAATGGCGTTAATTTCGTTATTTTAGAATGCATAGAATAAAGTATATTGAATAGATTGGATTAGCCTTAATGGAAAAATTAGACCGTTAGGTTTTGAAATTTGAAATCTCCGAGGCGGGGAATTAAATATTCATAGATGCTTCATGCTTACGATGCGGTGCACCGCCCAGGTTCTCGCCCCGCTCTCATTTAGAAACTGCCATTCGGCTTTCGAGTTTCAACTTATTTCTAGTGGTGGTATCGGGAACAACAGTTATAGGCCCAAAGTTTAAAATATTTATATTGAAGAATCCTGAATTTAATAATACTTACGTCTTCCCTTTCAAAAAATTAAACATTTTTAATTAAATCTCATCTCTTAATAAAAATAATTATTTATTTTTAAATTAATTTTATTTTTTTATATTTATTTTTATTTAATAAAATGTTTTATAATAAAATAAATATAAAATAATTTATTTAATAGAGACATTTTTGAGATAAATATTTTTTAATTCACATGATTTATTTAATAGAAATATTTTTAAAATAAAAAATTAAAAATATTTTTTTTAATATTTAATTTTTAAAAAAATATTTTATATTTTTTAATGGGAGGAGTATAGTTTTTTTTATCTAAAATAGTTATTACAAATAGAAGGGTAATTAAAATCATATATATTTATTTTGATCCTGTTTAACCCTTAATTAAACATTATAAATCTCTACTTTGACTTGTATTAGAATTAGGCTCTGAATTAGTTCATGATTCTAAATATCATTTTATTGGACAAAAATCATAGATTGATTAATAAGGAAAAAAATTAGATATTTAGTTTTATAAACTTAAAATATTTGTTTCCAATTTAATCAAAATATGTGATTTTTTTAATTATGATTTATTATATGATAAACTCTTGCTTATAATATTAATGACGCACTAAAATTGACATATTCTATTTTGACTGGATAAAATATATTAAGTATTGGGCCAAAAATGTAATTTTCTCCCTTTTAGTATGCACAAGCATCAAATTGTAAAATAGAATGGGTTTTTAACTAGATTTTATGATATCATTTTAACATTTTTTTTATTTATATACCTTCTAAATTAACTTTTAATTAAGTGTTAAATGGAAAATTTTCTCCTAAACTACAATTCTAAGAATGCCTGGAACCTTAAACGAGTGTAATATTTCTCTTTAACATTTTAAAATGGTATAATATGCCTTCTTATCTTTAACAAATATTAACTTTGATCGTTAGTTAATTAAAAAAATTTGGTAAAAAATAATAAATTACAGAAAATAACAAAAAAATATTAAGAAAATTTTCTTCATCTTTTATATAATTTTTTTGGTCATTTCTGTAATTTTTTAGTCATTTTTTGTATTTTTAATCAATTAATTGTTAAAATTAATTTTTATTAATGCTACAGACAATATTATATTATTTTTAAAAAATTGAAAAGGGATATTGTTCCTAAAATAAATTTAGGATCCTAGAAATTCTTGAATCTATAGTTTAAAAGTGAAATTATTCTTTAATTATTTAATTAATTTTGAAATAACTTAAAATATATCAAGTATTTGGAGAAATAAAGTAATAGAGTAGAATAAATATTTAGATAGATTGAGTGAACCACAGTATTTGTGATTTGTTCAATAAAAACATGATATTTAAATGATATTAAATATAAATTAATTTAAATATTAGATAGTAGAGAGAGAAAATGCAAGAAATTAAATGTATATTTTGTTATAAAAATAAAACTAATTTTAAAAATATAACATAAGATTTTATATAGATCATTTGAAGTTTTTTAATTGAACAAATTACAAATGACGTGGTGCACTCGATTTACCTAAGTATTTCTCATTTAGTTAGATTTTTAATATAAGAGATTTAGAATTTACAATATAGGAGATTTAAATGGTCAACTCATGGTTTCATTAATGGTAGGAAAGGGGGAAAAACAAATATTAAAATTTATTTACTATAATTTGATTTGGATAAAACATATATTAAATATATAAGCTAAGATATGTAATTCTCTCCCTTCTAATATGGAGAAGTATAAAATTGTAAAATAGAATGGTTTATTATATATTATGATATCATTTCAACATTTTCTATTTGTATGTTTTCTAAATTAACTTTTAATTAATTTTTAAATAACTGGTAACATACCAAGTATATGGAGCAATAAATTCTAAAGTAAAACAAGTTATTTACATAGTATTGATATTGATATTGAAGAAACAAATTCTAAAACAAAGCATACGTTTTAGATTCTTAATTTGTAAGGCAATTTATAGAACAAAATAAATTATTATGTATATTTAAAGAAAATCCACTTGCTAAAGTATTTGTATCAAATTAAATACATATAACAATTCTTTTAATATACAAGACATTAACATTTTTTAAAATAAAATGATATGTCTTTCATGCAATCAAGTGTCTATTGTGCACTGCATGACATAAAATCTAGTTAAATAATAATTATCAATCAGTCAATATCAAATATAAAAATTAGTTATAAATAACATGACATTATTATACTCCACATGATATTACAAAAGAATAATTATAATATATTAAATAAGTTGCAATAATACAACGATGGGAGTTTACTTTTGTGATTTTGTCATGGACATGATTAATTTACATGGTTAGTTTTTAGAAATCCTTTGATAGACCTTTAACAAAAAAATAATTTGATTAGATATCAAGTGATAGAGTAATTTGGTCACATTTTGAAACACAAACACGAGGTTTTATTTTAAAGAGAATCATCCAATCCTTGAGAAGTAATCAATTCAATTCAAAATATGAAAATTGTTTTTATCTTTTTTTTTTGAAATAAGCATAAGAAATATTTGCTCAAAAAAAAAAAAGAAATAAGCATAAGAAATAGATTTCGCCTAAAAATGATGAATATACGGCATATAGCCGGGTTCCAACACCTTACCCACCCAATAAATCACCCAACGTGGCCTAACCCAAGTTCCAAGTCTAACCAACAAAAACCCAAAAGTACGTGTGGCCCGGATGGCAAATTGGACTAACCCAATTTGACTAGGGTTTTTGAGGTTTGGATTTTTATTTTTTTTTAATGGAGAAAGAAATTTTTAAGGGAGCTAGGGCTTTGCGATTTATCACGCCAGTATAAAATCTACCAAGGGTTCTGGCTTTTACTTTGAATGAGTAGCTTTCAAAATCGAGATCTTTTTACTGTGAATTGAGGTATGCATCATTTTCTAGCTCCGATGATGTTGTTGTTGTTGTTGTCTTGGTTTGTTTTTTGACCCTAGCTTCATTCATTGGTAAATTTTGTTTCTGTGCCGGTGTGTTTGCTTTCCAATTTGACTTGAACAAGCTTTCGTCTCTGATGAGGAACAAATTCAGTAAACTTTCGTTCTTCTGATTAGCTATTCATGAAGAATGCTTTTGGAGACCTGAACTGAAGAGACATACTGGAATGCACTTGTGTTTCTCTTTCACTTATTAAACTTTCGTCCTCAGTCACACACATGTATCTTTGATTGATATCTTATTTTTCATTTATATTCTTGAGAAATGCTTCTGGATGTCTGAGTTGAAACACCCATTGTTTCTCTCGTGTTGATTCCTGATTCGTTTCTTCATTTATGGAGAATGCTTTGGGAGACTTAGAAATGATGTTTGGCAAACACTCCTGTTTCTCAGGTTTTTAGAGCTTTAGATTTAGATCTCTAACTTAGGTTCCTAGAACATGGAAGTCGGTGGCAGCCTGCAATTCTACTTAACCCAAATGAGAATTTGATCCAATTGTTATTTTCAGAGGCACGAGATATGCATGAAGGATTTGGGGATTTTAAAATCCATTGTTGACCCAAACCGTCATGGTTTAGTTAAGGACATGCTATTTCCTGAGGAAGGGGTTGGGTTGTTTCTGTAAGCAATGTTTCTTCTTTTGTTAGTCTCCTTGTAATGTTCATATTTTGGGACTAGAATCTTTTAAAACTTTGTGCTTCCTATATCTCAACCAAGCAAGAAAGAAAGAAAGTGACGTTAAGTAACTAAAATGCCTTTCAAGATAATCAGAAGGTGACTTTCATGTTGAGCAGCCAATGTAGAAAATTCGTATAACTAAGAAAGCTCAAGGTTCAAGTGTTTCTTTTTTTGGGCTGGATATGTGATTATTTGTTCTCTCATATGCTGCATAAATTATCAGAACAAGCTTTCTTCTCTTCCTTTCATTATTACTTGTCTTAGTCTTGTTATTATTTCTACTGAATGCAAACTTACGTGCGGTTTATATGATTCTGTTCCACATCTTAGTCCTTGCAATTTATCTGAAATTTGTCCTTATATTCTTATTTTGTTCTTGTACTTAATGGTATTTGACATACTCTCTGGCAGTCAGTTCCTTATATATTTGAAGAATTTTGCAACTGAACATCAGTTCTGTCCAAAATGAGGTATATTTTAGTTTTAAATTGGTCATCTTGATTGATATTATCAGATATTTTGAGGTTTTTACATAATCACTAACATGGTTTTCTTCTCCTTTTTTCACTTTTCAGCCGGCCAATGGAGGAAGATGTAAGTTATTTTTTTGGTTTTCAGCTAAATATAAAATAGCCTAAAGTTGTATGCTCTTGTGATTTGAAATCACACTGAGTCAGACATGGGGTCTAACGTGTTGTTCATATAGGGACCCTGAAAAAAGTATGCTGTTGTTTGACTTGTAATCAATTTTTTTTTTCCTAGGGTGGTGGCAAGAATGAAGAGGAGGAGTTTAACACAGGACCGCTTTCTGTGCTCATGATGAGTGTTAAGAATAACACACAGGTATGTTTCTTCCAATATAGCACTATGGACTATGGAATCGAGGGCAGGCGTGGATTATTGTGGTTTTAATCAGATATCTTGCTCGTGCAGGTGCTGATCAATTGTCGGAACAATAGGAAGCTTCTGGGTCGCGTGAGGGCTTTTGATAGGCACTGCAACATGGTGCTTGAGAATGTCCGGGAAATGTGGACTGAGGTTTGTTTTTCTTTACCAAGGATTTTGGCTTCTTATAAATGAATCCATCTAAGTCATTCCATGTGTGTTGCATTCAGGTGCCGAAGGCTGGGAAAGGAAAGAAAAAAGCACAGCCAGTTAACAAGGATAGATTCATCAGTAAAATGTTCCTCCGCGGAGATTCTGTTATCATTGTTCTCAGGAACCCCAAATGAGGCTGCTTGCAATGCACATTAACTAGTGGGGAGTGATTTGCATGTAATATTTGCCATTTTACTGATATTGACGAGTACTATGGTCTTGACAGCTAGCGTGATGCCCTCTAAATTTTTGTTTAAATATTGAGATCTTTGCTAGGATACGGACGATATATTTTGATGTCAGCCTTTACCCAGAAAAATTCTCGAGCTAGTCGCAGGACAATCGTTGCCGGAACTTTGTAATATGCTCTTCATGCAAAACCGTATTGGGGATGCTCCATACTGTCAAATGTATGTTTCCGGAGTTTTACCATTAAATTAATACAGTGGTGTATATTTTTTTGAATGAAGAAAGACGCATTGACCGACAGATGTCGTTTCAATACATGAAGATGGATCGTGTCTTATTCTCTACCTTGAGGTGGGGGTTGATCAAGAAACAAGTGCCGAAGAAATGTCTGCAAATTTTCTACGTTTTCGTTAAGATTATATCTCATTTTCAAGCAGTTGCCAAAATTTTTGCATCGTTTAACAAAGATGTGACCACCAAAAAAAAAAAAAAGCCGCTTTCTACCCTTCGTTTTCAAGTGATATTCCGTAGATGCCTGTGTATCTCTCTCCTAGTCGAGCTTCTCCATATTTTAGGTGTGATGTAAATCTCATCTTATCTCAGTCACCAAGCTGCCATTCATTGTTTTTGTCATCTCTTCGTCAGCTCATCTTTGTTTTATTTTTTTTTACTTTATTTATAAATCACTTTCAATATGTTTATTAGAATTAAAGAAAATTTTAAAATTTATTAACTTTATTTTAAAATTTAATTAATTTTGACCTTTATCTCCAACAAATATTATTAAATTTATTACTGATATTATTCAAAGTATTTTAACAAAGGCAAAAATATAAAAATGAGCATTAAAAATTAATAAGTACCTTATTAATAGAATTGATTTTTTTCTTCTTTCTATCTTATTATGACCTATTTTGTTTGGTTTTATACATGCCCCAAACGCCTATTTGTACACCAACATTAATAATATTTGTCAATATGAACATCAAATAAAAAGTTTATTCATTAAAAAAGTTGGAATTCAACATGCCTTGTATTCTGGGGCTTTTTTTTTTTTTTTTATTAACTTTTTGTCCGACACTAACGGGGACTTTTCGCTCCTGAGGTAGCCAGCTTTCTTTGTTAATTTTTTACGGCTTCTGAACCCCTTTGTTTACCAAAGATAGAGAACTTCATAACTAAGGCAAGGCTGATACAAAAATGTGATTAAATCACCGATTGGTGCTATGGTATCATGCATATAATTTTCCGTTTGCCAGCTATACTTGTTATTTGGATTTTTCTTCATTTTCATACTGCTGAAGCTCCAATCCATGCTTCCCAATTTTCTCTCCATTTCATCCCTTCGCCCTCCACTCCATAATTGCAAACATAGCCTTCAGATAAAGCCATTCAATTTCTCCCTTCTAAAATTTCCTTCAGAGTACCACATTTCCCTTATTCTGTTGGACAATTTGCTTCCAACCAGTTATATCTTATTGAAAACTAACCACAATAAATAACGAAGTGTAGCGTTTATCCAGTTATCTTAGGAGGGAGCCATATAGATCGGTATATCACTAGTTATAAGACAAACAGATATATCTCATTCTCAATTTCTTATTGGTTTATTCAAATACCTGAAGAAAGAAGAAATGGAAAAACACAAAGATCATGGTCTTCATAAGTTTTACACAGGAGCAGTAGATCAAGTTCATGTATTCTGCCAATATGCATACATATTCAATATTTTTATTTGAACAGGCTGTACCAACTCAGAACAATAGTCAGCAGATCATCAAAAGGCCAACTGTTTACTCATTGGAAGGTGCATCCTCCGTTGGAATATTTCCACCTTTTATTGAATAAAAAAAACACACACAAATGCAAATGAGAAGAGTTCACAATCTTTTAAGAAGCTGTAACCCAAAAAACGTCAACTAAAACTATTCCCAGATTAAAACCAGCATCCTAAACACAGCATACCTTCATCTGAAGGAGCATATGGAGATTTCCGGTAACGTGTTTGCTGCTGCGTTGGCTGTGATAAAAATGTTCCAGGCAGAAATTAGTCACACACATCATACGGAAACGGCAGGTACAGTTAGATTTAGATACTTCGATTCAGGCATAATAGATAAAATAAATATCAAGATTTTTTGTTCTGAAGGTTTTACTTTTGACCACAAACACCAGCTTGCAGTATTTAATTGTTGCATGCTTTATTTATTTGATTTTTGTTTGTGTTTGTGCTTTTTTTTTTTTTGGGGGGGGGTTTTGTTGTGGAACTACAATTCAACTACAATTCTCAAGGTGTTTAGTATTCATCCAATGAAGACACCACCTCAATCCCATGGACTTGTACTCTTAACTTTATATCAAGGTTGGCTTCAATTTTATTTGCGTGTAGAGAGAGAAATTATTGCATGGACCTAGTATACTATATCATCCATACTCTAACCAATAAAAACTTGCCATGTCAAATGGCTGTAAATATAAATTAATTCTGCCATTGATGATGATAGAGAGAGAAAAAACAAGAAATTAAATAGGCATTCTATTTCAAAAATAAAGTCATTAATCCTCATGAACATAGCATGGTTTTATTTGATTGAACTTGTGCAACATAGCATGTTTTTATTGGACAAAATGTGGACATCGAATGACATGGCACACTGGATCCATGGAAGAATTTCTCATGCAAGAATACATTAATTCTATTAACCATTTATGAAATGTTACGTGGCAACATTAAGGTATGAGAATAGTGATGAGATACCTGCAGTTTTGGCCGCAGAGCCTCAAGTGGTCCCTTTGGCTTCCCACCACCTTGCTGTTTCACGCGAAGATACAGATGAGTTTACAAGATATATTCAAGACATGCATATTCTACTTCATCGAAATCACATATAGAGGGCTGGTTCCTAGAAATACCTTTCCCAGTGCCCAATCCGCAGAATCAAAGTATGCACGTTCATGGTCCTGGCATAGAAAATAACTTTAAGAAGAATTATGGAGGGCGCATCTGGCACCAGATATGTATGGCCATTAGCCATGTTACTTGCAGTGAACTACTTTACATATACCCAAAAACAAAATACCTTCTAGTGATGTGATTGTTTGATTTTGTACTGAATATATTCACTCTTGTGACCAAAAAAGAAAGGAAAAGAAAACCCCATGCATGTACCTTGGATATAAGCGGTGGCTTTTTAGGCACAATTCCTCCATATTTTTTCTTTATAACTTCCTCCTGCAAGATCTATGAATTCAATAATTTAAAAAATATGAATTTGGTTAAAAAAAAAACTTGCTGCAGCAGAAGTGACAACAACCTCCTCCTGGGAAGATGGCATATCAGCTGACTCATCAGATGTATTGACATTCACTCCTTGTTCTTTGTTATCCTCTAAGCTAGACATGTGGTCCTTTTGCAAGTAAACTGCAGCAACAGAGGCTTATTTAGTACGTATTTTTCCATTGCATGAAATACCATAGAAGTGAATATGAATCTGACTACAGGTATATTGAGCAATCACTTTGAGTTGAAAGCCATCAATACATACTTTATTCCATAGACATGCAAGTTGAACAAGTGTCATACATGTGAGGCAGCAATATGAAGCTCACTTCATGACAAGGTGGTAGACAACACATATAGACAAAAGTTAAAAGCAAGCATGGACAGCTCCCACTTGACCATTTTCAATAAGCATAGATTGCCAATTCAGTTTAAACGTACAGATATTATTTTAAATAAGCAAACGACACATCTAAAAACTGTCTGCAATTCCTGTGCCCTGGGTATCAAACGAAAAATATATAAGCTGTTCAGAATATTGAGATAGAAACCTCTACGGGCGGTACAGCATGCAAACATCAAATTCAAATTATTTCAACATAAACCTATACATGATGACTAAGACTAGCTATAACATGGAATTTCTGAAAAATCCATTCATTTATAAACAGGAGGGAAGGAGCTGGAACGCTAACTGAAAATTTATCAATCCTAGGTCCCTGGTCAACAGAACCCTTCTTTGTCTACATCAACGGGAAAAAAATGCTGTGAAAAGCCAGACAAAATAAAAGGAGAAAAGAGTGTAAGTTTATACAGAGAGAATAATAATAGTTAATCCTAAGCAAGTCGGATGTTAACAATTATATTATGTTTATGTTTTTCATTTTATTTAACTTATTTGTTTTCAGAAACCGTTCTACGTGGAAGAAAAATTTCAATGAAACTTCCCAGGAAATACTCAAACGGGCAATGGTTCGCCGATAGAAATGTTGTGGTTTTCCATGAAGTCAGAAGTTAATTGCACACCGGCATAGTGGCGGAATCATTTCATTGTTACAAAGTAGAAAGGGAAAAGTTAACGCCACAACTTTGTGGCTGCCAAAAGGAGGAAAACTCTTTTTTTAAACCATAAGAATTTTTCTAAGAATTTTTTAACACTTAACAATCAAAAATAATTTTTTGCTGACCACAGGAAGGATGAAAAGGCAAACTTTCACTTGTCAAAGGGTGCTGGTGATAGAAGAAAAGGAAAGGGAAAGAACGGAATATAAGTTCCTATTTTCCATTAGGTCAATAGTTGTTGATTGCATACCCTCGATATCTAGGTTCGAGTAGGATTAAGAGATTGGTTCAGCTTTCTCGGTAATCATTCTCTGCAACTTGTCACCCCCCACCCCCATAAATTCACCACTGATGCCAAACAAGAAAATTCCAAAGACTATGCCCTGTAAAGCGCCAGAGGTTAAGTCCCATATTAAACCAGACATATTACGTATTAGGACAATAATGTCGAAGCTCAAGAACACCAAACAGTGAATTCTAAAGCCTGCACACTCAGAAAGCGGCAAAAGCAAAGTTATCACAGTAAAACATTAGATTGGCATGGTTATTCAACCAAAAAAACTTGGTCATGGAGTTAATAGAAACCCCAACTCTTAAACTTGAATGAGGGAATATCAGAAAATAAAATTCAAGAAAGAATAGCGATCATCAATCATCAGGAGAAGAGAAGCCAGAAATAAACGACAGATCCAATTCGAGCACGGAGCGCATACCGGAGCAGTGGGGGCGCTACCGCAATCACCGGAGCGTCGAAACAGAGTCTTTGTTCCGATTGTCACGTCTCCCCCGCCCCTGCAATATTCTCTCTCCTTCCTCTTGTCTTAATGCCATTTTTTAATAAATCTTATTTCTTTTTTATTTCTTTTTTAACTTTTTTGTCAAATGAACAATTCCCCTGGAGGCGGTGAAATCTGAAATGAATGAAGTCAATGAACAATTTTCGACCCAAAAAAGGGATTAATTAAATCCAGTCAGGTCTCCCTTTTTTTTTTGGAGCAAAAAAATTCAATCAAATCCTAAATAATTTTAAAAGGTCAATGAATTTTCTAAATTCTTAAATGATATTTTGATGTAATGAAAAAAGACTGAAATACCTTTATTTTTAGAAAAATTTTGAGGTTGCTTGTTATCTTCTCTACCCTAACGATCACATACAATTAAGTAAAGAAAAGTTATCTATCTCTTCCCTACCCTACCATTAGCAACATACAGAGGTGATCGTTCTCTTCTCTGTCCTAAGTGACCACTTGCAACCGAGTAAAGGAAAGTTGTTCATCTCTTCTTTGCCTTAATTGCTAGCAACATACACCGGTGATCAAGGGAAGGAGGAAAGCTGTCCATCTCTTCTTTGTCTTCTCGCTGCCATAGTCTCCATTTCGCAATTGTTTTGTTGCCCGTTCTTTGGCATAATGTTTGGCTTGCTTTGCTTGTTGACTTGTTTATTTTGTGTGAATTTTTGTCTCTAATTACTGTTCCTTTTCACCTCTCGTTGGCTAACAGTGAGCAACTATATATATAATAGATTCAGTGATACAAATGGCATTAAGGCTAATTATGTAGTTGTCTTTTCACGTTTAGTAGCAGCTCCTTTTTTTTGGGGGGGGGGGGGGGGGGAAGGATTGCTAGCAACTTCAAGCTGACAAAGTTGGCAGCAATATTCCTTTGGTTCTTTTAACAGGTGGTTGGTGGAAAGTCAATAGCTTCTTATTGATGCACATTAGAGTTTGATTCTGGGTCAGAACTGTAGTCATTTAAAATATTTAATTATATTTGGTCAAAGTCCAAAATATCATCTATAACCAATCTTTTTAACTGCAAAAATATACATATGAGCAATGGACTCTCAAGATATAATTATTATTCCAAATCTGGAAAAACATTGCAGGAGGATTTAGATTTTGGAATCACATCACAAAAGCTAGGGTTAGAGACAAGCTACATCATGGATCAAAATACAATTGCCATAGTTGATGGCACTAACATGAAAATCTGTTCATGAAGTTCTTCCATCATTCTTCTCCAATAACATATATTTTCCATAGTGAAATATATATTTCATCTTAGATTAAAGGACCAACCAGAGTTCTAGCTCAAGTGCTCATCATAAAGCATCATATTAAATTGGAATTATAGTTCATACTGGCCATTCTATTTTTTCTCCTCACACCCACACAAACAATACTTTGAACTTATTCCCTCAAGCTATGTCAACGAATTGGCTAACCATGACAGAGCCTCTGCACACAGCCATTGTAACACTTGCCCCGAGTGTTATCCAAAAATCACACAATTCAAATAAACTAAGTGTGGTTAAGGAATTAATCCTAAAACCAACTTAGAAAACAAACCATTAAATCATTAAACAAATACACAATTGCAAAGTAAACATTTAAAGCTTTTAAAAAAATTTATAGGTTCTACCTATAGCACGGAAGCAAGTTAGGTGAAAGAAGGGTAAAAATATGCTGTCATGACAGCATTAACAGCCCTACCGAGTCAACTTCAGGGAGGCACCGTTTTGTCTTTCGAACTCCGATCGAAGAAATTTTAAAACTCACAAGTCACATTCAAAGGGTACTATAAGTGTACCAAATTTCAAAAAGATCCAACGGTCGGATTAAAAATTAGACATGTTACAAATTTGGTCAATTTTGCTGTCAAAAAGCTGTCATGACAGCACTTCCGGACCAACTTTCGGAGTGCACCATTTCATCATCCGACCTCCGATCGGAGTGATTCCAAAGCCCACAAGTCACTTTTTAAAAATACTATTAGCATACCAAATTTTGAAAAGATCCAACGGACAGATTGAATTTTGTGCAGGTTACAATATAACTACTGTAGCTGTCATGACAGCAACGAAATGCTGTCATGACAGCACCTCCAGACCAAATTCTGGAGTATGCCGTTTCTTCATCCGATATCTGATCGACATGATTTCAAATCCCACACGAAGCTTATAAAAGGTTTTACTTGTGACCCAAATTTTAGAGAAATCCAACGGTCGGATTAAGATTTGGACACTCGGATGCAAAAGTACAGCTTTTTAGTAAAAACCATTTTCAAAATTGTCCAAATCTCATTTTAATGGTCACAAACTTGTGGAAATACTTTGGACACGTCAAATAAGACTAAAAACACCTGATAGAACATTCAAATGATGGAAAACCCCCATACATCAAAATTTGACCACCCGGGTGCCATTTCCCAAAATGGACCCTAAACCCCCAAAATGTACAAATCATACAAGAGTGGTCACAAATCAATCTAAATATCATGTATTTATATAAATACATATGCTAAACATTTTCACTTGGCTCAGAACTCCTTGTGGGGCCCACACACCCACTCTCTCTATCCAAGGTATATGTTTGCCCATAGCACATCATTTGCAATGCAACCACTTTACATTTGCTTATAAAATCACATATATATCAAAATAAATATCTGCTTGTAATAGAAACTTAGTCTACTAAGTAAATCCATCAAAACCACACACCATAACCAAGTTTCCTAGCTACAAGTCTGCAAACAGACAAAAATTCACACACAAGCACACAATCCACACATATTCACACACACATACATAATCATATCCTACTGGCACCCTAATCCTAAATACATTACAATATATTTGCTCAAAAGAAAGGGGTTGCAGTTCTTTACAAATCACAAGCAAACCCCTAGCTTTGTTCCTTTCCCCATCCACCACTAGATCCTTCACCTGGACCTATAATATTGAAAAGAAAGGGGTGAGACAACCACAGTCTCAGTAACAGAAAAATCTACATTGATTATTACAAAGTAAGCCATAATCAAATAAATGAATAATAAATTCAACATAGTATATAATTTAGCCATTTAAAATGTATGAATGCATGACTTAGGCCGGTATGGCCTTTCATGACCAACAGAATGCCCCCTGGCACTCTTTAACTCGCAGGTAAACCTTATATCTACTTGTACCTCCACAGGCACAAAACATAGTCTAAGGCATGATCTAATCCACCGAACCACCTATGCCCCTTCGACATGAATCCTGAGCAGTCAAAGCTAACTCCCTCCCAGAGCCAGCCCGACTTACTCTCCATGTGAGGGCTATCTTGGCCTAGGCACTCAACCTCACACTTCATATGTCAGATTCCCTCCCCCACTGAGAGGTGTCGAACACTCAATATACTAACCACTTTAGTGCACTGAGCCCACAATACGTAAGACAACACTACGTACTGACAGTGTGCTATAAAATATCAAAAATCCACACCTTCTCATTGGTGAACTCCCACCAAGATCATGCCTTTTACTTTTGTCTACCTTTCTCGAGTATTGACCACTTCAACACTCTAAGGTAGTATAACATTTATAAATCTCCCTTAAACGATTCCTTAGCCTATCTAAGGTATTTTACTTAGTTACACTTCCTTAAGTGTAACTTCTATTCCTTATGATTAAAATACATGTAAACAAATCTCGTTTCCATAAAAACATTGTTATTAAACAATTAGAAAATATATTTGCACTAAAATCAAATTAGTACCCCATAACCCCTTATAAAGCACATTTAATCTTTTCAAACATGTAATGCATGATAGCTAGTAATATTTATTCAAAAATAGCTAAAACAGAGTAATAAAAAATATAAATTTCCCCTGTTACCTCAACACTTTAGTATCAAAAGGATTCCTTTTGTACAAAATAGAACTTAGCTTATTCCTTAACTTCCAAACAAATTTCACCAACAATTTCCTACAACATATAAGTGATCCACATCACTTATCATGACAAATAGCATTAATGAAGACTATAACTCATACCACACAACTTGGGTCAATGAGTCATAATCCACCCTAATAGTCCATGTATTAAACCAAACATTCACATAGTATCACTTAACCACCAAAACCATTTATTAGCCATCATTAAGCTAATTTTCAATTTATATAATTTTTTATCAATTAAAAACCTTCACTTAATGTCACCAACTTTCACCATTAGCCCTTATAATGAAAACCAAACCTTAATTTAAATCTTATTGGGCTCAAATAGAAAAATTATAACTAAATCAATAAGCTTAAACCATTGAAGAGCAAAACCCAATTTCTCAAGGTTTATTTTGTGTCCAAAACACCTCTTTTCATCCAATTATCCACTCAAAACATTAGATCACTATATAAAAACTCAAAACATGCTCTCTAGGATCCAAAAAAACAAAAGCTTACAAGAATAACGCCTTTGAGATCAAAATCTAAAAATATCCTCTTCCAAAAATTGAAGAAAATCAAGAGAAAGGGAAGAGGATTGAAGTAGGAAGTTTATCTATCGTGTAGCTGAGCTTGCAACGGTCGTAAAGACTCCTAGATCCAAGCCTAACTTCCTCCCTTTCTCTTCTCTTCTTCCTCTCTCCCTCTCGTACGTTTTCTTTCCTTTTCTTTCCAATTCAGTTTCTGCGTTTTTGCATCAGTTTTGGTCTTTAAATTGCTGGTCAAAAAGTTTGGAAAAAATTACAAGAAAGGGCCTAACATTTTTTATTATTGCATAAAAGCCCGGGTCAACTTTGATAATTTTTTCCATAGTTAAAAATCAAATAAAACCAAACTTTTGCTTAGAAAAATTTAAACTCTGAACCCTATCAAATTATTCTAAATTTTAATTTAATTATAGATATTTTATTTTATTTTTATAAATCCGAGTTTTAAAATTTCGGGATGTTACAGCCATGGAGTTTCCAACCCACTTATTTAAGATTATTAACAAAATTTTAGCCCATGAAAATAGCAATCTAATTTACTATCTTCACTTTGAAAATTTATATCTCAAGTTATAGGGCTTCAATTAAAGTGATCTTTAATATCTTGGAAAATTTAGGATGTTCTTCATAAGATAAAAATATTAGACAAGATATAAGGTTGCCCTATTAATACAATTGAAATATGTTATTTCGTATGTGGTATTTTGTTCAAACTTCCAATATGTCTCTTGTTTACAAGTCCATCTTTGTCATATTCATCAATGCCAGTGTTAGATTTGCTTGATTTTTTGTAGGATAATCTTGCATATGTTGACATTTCATTTTACATGTATGCACTCACTCATTCACCCATATACACTAACATTACAAATTAGTGATCTACAAATGGGCATCCGTTTTTTGTCATTTCTAATGTTAAACATCATTGATCAATACTTCTTATCCTTTTCTCAATGTTCAGTGACTTTTCATATGTAATAACTTTATAGTTGTCAACTTCTTGTGCAATGGATTCAAACATTAGTTGCATCTTTTCACTTCATTTATCAAGTGTCTTAGGACTCCATCCTACTATACATCATATTACTAGCTGCAAAGATAGCATTCCTCGACATAGTTATACACATTACCATATACTTCTTTAATGGTTGCACAAGCATGTGGGTAAGAAATGCTAAACATTTGCCAAACTTTGCATGTGAATTCCTTTAGTATCAGATTCACACATACATCTCCACATGGTGTCCAAACAAATGCAATATGTGAGCCATGTAGCTGAACTATCATAACTTCTGCCCTCAAAATATTTTCCTTCAACTTTGCTTCAATATTTGAACCAACTATGCTTTTCCACTTACTCATTACTCTCTTCTTTGCAAAAAATTTCTTGCTCAACTTGTCTCTATGCTCATTTATAAGAACACATAAATTATGCCTCATCTCCTCAAAAATCCATACATTAAATGATTCACTCAAGTTGGTTATTATCTTATCCCATCTTCAAAATGGGAACAATGATAATGCCCACCAATCAATATCACCTTGATTTTCAACCTATCTTGCTAATTGCGGAGAGAACATACTTAAATTTTTCATGGCTATATAAAATTCATGTGCATGCTTTATATAGGCAACATGATCAAGCAACTTTAATGCCTTCTCCTTGTTGTTCCTTCCCATTTCCCTACAAACTTTGTTAAACTCAAAGCTAAAATTCTCCTTTACATGTCAATAGCAAAATACATGTCTATCGCTACTAAATATGGCTCTAACAGCACCAATAATATCATTATTTTCATTAGAAATAATATTTACTTGTAGTGAACTAATGATATTTTTAATATTTTACAAAAATCAGGTTCAATCATCATGAGTTTTACTACCAACAATTGTAAAGGCCAATGGAAATAACTCATTATCAGTATCGTATATTGATGCTGCCAGTAAGGTACCTTGGTAAGGACCACTAAGAAAACATCCATTCATATATAAAACAAGTCTAGTTCCAAGCAAAAATCCTTTGATGGAACACCTACATGCAATAAATAATCCTTTAACTCTATTGTTCTCAAAAGCAACCCATTTTACTACAAGGTCAATATCAGTTTCTATTAGTCTATTACACAATCAAGGAACAAGCATATATAATTGGTTAGAAAGCCCACTGATTTCCACAAATGCCCTCTCCTTTGCTCTTAAAGCTTGACGATAAGTTAGACTTATGCCATAATCTTTATATATGTCAACTTTAATTTTATTAAGTCTTTTTTTCACATTAGACCTTACTACATCATTAATTATAAATGATGTCAGTATGTACCTTGTACTATAAAAAACTTCAAGGTCCACTTGAGCAAAATGTAAGTGCTCATTCTTGAAAGTTATTACATAAAGCAAGGGTATTGACATCCTTAATAAATATGATTTTATCTTCCATTGACATCCTTTTGCCTTGCATTTTGCAATTATTTTATTTGTGTTGTTCTTTACAAGTTTATACTCAAACCTATGTGCAATACTATACTTGTATATTCCTTGCATACAATCATTAGCACTCGCAAAAATCTGCCTAGATCCTACTAGCAAATCCTTCCATTTTATTGTATTTAGCTTAAGCATTGGTGTTGGGATACTTTGTATTGCACACGGTAAAACTTCAAGATCCTGTGTAGCATGTGAATTGCCAACTGAACATCCTACTCTACATTTCCATTCAAATCATGTTTATTATTGCTGTTCATATTAGCATAATAATTAAATTCAAGTAACTATTAAAAAAACTTACCTATCATTTGGATCTTTTATTGCCTCTGTACTTTGCTGGCTGTATCTTTCTAATGATGTACATATGAGCAAAATTATTATTCAACTTCAGTAATTGATTTATCACTTCATCATCTTTAAGGTTTAAAAATACATTACAATCAAACTTTATTGTGTACTTTAACTTTATTCCATTTAAATTACAATTTAAGTATGATGAAATCAATTTAACTAGTTCTTCAAGAAACATTCCTTCTCTGATTATTCTTCCATAACAACTCCCCCCATTATAATGCATTGTCCTATGTATATCTTTTGCAATATCTCTACTAAAATGAAAATAACAAAAAAATTCTTTTAAACAATTACTTTCCATCGTATCTAATAACATCAACTTACAACAAACAAAATAAAATGTTATAATATATCACTCAGAAACAAGTTACTTTTGGGAGCAGTGATTTTTTCATTAGTGAGACAATGACAATGTTCTATCTTAAAATGTGGACACTTGATGATAAATTATTACACTTTTAGTTGTAAAATGTTGAATTTTCATGCCAAATCTTTATAAATGTGAAATAAAAAAAAACTTTAATGTTTAGTTGTAAAAAAACATTTTCTCTTTTTGTTCACGAATGTCATTTTGCAAAAGAATCAGAACTTACTCAAGTCAATCTTTTTGTTCACACTACAAGGATTTGCAAAAAAAAAAAACCCTATCTAAATGCACCAACCAAAAAAAAAAAAAAACTCACATACACAAATAATAAGAGCTTACTTAAGTCAATAATTATGGCAAGTTCACATCTTTCATACACAAACCCTATTTTAGGAATGTGTATTCTTTAACGTGTCTCTCCTCCACTGATATGTATTTCTCATTAATGGCGAGAAAGATTTTGCTTGGGAGGGAATTTTTGGAGTTGATATGATGAGTGTTGATGTTATATTTAATCATAAGGGTATTTTAGTCATTTTTACTATAATTCATATTGAAAAAGGAATGGGACTTGATTGACTTTTTAAAATTACTTGAGATTTGACTGGATTTAATTACTCCCTTTGAGACGTAATTGTTATTTTTCCAAAAAAGAAGTCAATGAGCAATTATTTCCTATAATTTTGTTGGTTAATATTTTTTTCATATTCAGTAAGAATATAAGATGGTCAATTGAAAAAATTTTTAATTTACTCCATTGTACGATTCAAATAATCTAATTGCAATTTAGACTATCTATTTTTTTAATTTTTTTTGCCCTGATATGTTTCATTCTTCATTGAGAAAATAGCAATCAAGAACCTCAGTATAAAATTTTTATCAATTAAAGATTAATTGTTGTCAAAAATTCGAATAGAAAACAAGCTTGAATAACCTATTGTTAATTTAAAATGAATTATTGTTAAAACTTGAATGAATAGTTGTTGATAAAAGACTAATTCAGATCAATAAGTACCCATTCAAATTTGTTAAAATTTGACTTGACATTAAGGAGAGTCACAAGGCACGCAAAAAACGAGGAAGGACTCTTCAAAATATGAACTACCAGCCTGACCCCACATATACACTAAACAAAGGAAAAATTACGTCCAAATCTCATATCAAAAAAATTAATTACTATAAAATTATTGATAACTGAATTAAAGAGTGTCAATCTCTTTAATTCAATTATCGCTGAATTTTATAATAATTAATTTTTTTACGTAGAATTTCAATATAATTCCCCCTTAAACAAAACTCAATCTTGCACCGACAAACACTCAAAAAGTAGGCAATGGATACAAAATTTACAGAAGATAACAACCCTTGCTGATGAGATAAAATAATGAAACATACATAAGAGGATGCATTACATGCTTTGATCATATCGTGCAGTGAAGGTTGTATCTGCAGCAGTTGAAACTGTTGATGAAAATGTAGTATCCTGGTTGTACGAGGCCGAAGATGAATGGTATGAAGATGAAGCCTGAGTCTCCATCTCAATATTACTTGCTGGATTTTTCCTCACTTTGAGGTCCATAAAATCAGAGATCAAGGCTGGTTTTGTTATGTTCCTCTCGCCGACCCGCATTCTGCCGGCAAGCATGTTAACCACTGAAGACATGGACGGCCGCACCTTTGGATCATCCTGGGTGCAAAGAAGGCCAATCTTCAAAAACCTGCAAGCTTCCTCAGCATCAAAGTCTCCGTTCAGCGATTCATCTACCAGGGCCACCAATTCATTTCGCTCATAAAGATCCCATGTCTGTAACAACAGAAACTGAAGTAAGAGCAGGTCCTGAAATCTCATTCCTTTAAAGATCTATACAACAAAATTGACAACAAGTTATATTATTCATAAGCCTTGAATAGTATAATTCGCTTTACAGGATTACAATCACTCCTCTACTTAGCAGCATCATTTCTTTTACATGGCATAATTAACAGGCCCTTTGTTTCAAGACAAACACTCTGCCATTGAAGATAAATCCAGAAAGAACTTAAAATATTCCAATCTCCAAATGTGTGATTACCTTCCATTAAAGATGATTCCAGAAAGGATTACCTCAGTGTTTATGATAATTACCATAGATAAACAGAACAGGAGACAAACTAAGAACGGGGAATCTAAGAGCATGCCTAAACAATGAATTGCATGGCTGCAAATGGAGTAAAGAAGAGTAACTTCATAGGTTTATATGACCATAGAAGAACGTATGGGGACTCCAATAAGCTCAAATTCAAAGCTTGTAGTCTTTTTTTAAAAAAAAAAAAATTCTGAAAACGAACTAGCCTTTAATTTAACTGTCGGCAAGCAATTCAAAAGCACAGGAAACCACTTTGTCCCAAACATATTCCAGCCAAGAAGAAAAATCAAACGCTCTAATACTCGTGCATTCATAAGAGTAACTTCAACTTTCAGACTTCAAACGCTTTAATGCAATTCATTCCAGAAAGTGTTTCTCATTTGATATTGAGATATGCAAGTAAAGTTAGTGTATTCTATCTCCTTGCAAGGAGGTGCTTTTCACCTAAAAAAAAAGTTATAAAAGCACTACAAATATTAGAGATACATACCCTTTCTAGAATGTACTGTTCTTCAATTGGTAACTGTGTATTTGTGTTACATCTCCCACTTACAATCTCCACAAGGAGGACTCCGAAGCTGTATACATCAGCTTTTCGTGTCAGCTTGCCTCCTATTGCATACTCTGGTGCCAGGTAACCTCTGAAACAGGATATATAGCATTACATCCTGATATAGAATAATTACTTTATATAAAAAAAGGATATTATAAACATATATAATCAGATATATCAAATCCTATTTCTTCAGTAAACAAGAAGGGAAGGGTTGTGGCTAAGTAAAATTGCAAGGTTGCACAGCACAGCACTGACTATACTAAAGGAAACTCTTGTGCCGATAGTAAATGTCACGGATCTATGGTATTGGATGTTCTAGACATGGGGCGATAAGGTGCAGTTCCAATTGTGATCCCTGATAAGATATGACCAAGCTACTTTGAAAAAACAGAACAACTTAACCATATAAAACTCCCTAGTCAAATGGAAACTCCTTTTTTCCAGTACAAAAGAAAGACCTAGAGTTTGAAAATGGAAAATTGAGGAGGAGGGATCTAGTCATCATAAAATGAAAGATAATTCACAGTTTTAAAGGGGGAAGAAATTATAAAACAAAAGAAAACCAAAATCTTCCGGTTTCCCATCCTATAAAATAGAAATCAGAAGCACAAGACAACTATACTTACATAGTTCCCGCCACACGTGTGCTAACATGGGTCATGTTTGCCGGAATCAGTTTTGCAAGCCCAAAATCTGAAATCTTGGGCGTGAGGTCATTGTCAAGAAGAATGTTACTTGCTTTTATGTCCCTATGAACTATATGGGGTCTTACTTCCTCATGGAGAAAGGCAATCCCACGTGCAACCCCAATGCATATTCTAGATCGTGTTCGCCAATTGAATTGGATATTGCCATGTCGTCTACCTGGAAGTAAATAAATTAAAACAATTTATTGAACTAGAATTAGTGTAAGGTTGAAAGTTAAAATGAGTTAATAGAACACATTCATGTTGTTCAAAATCAGGCTTGCTATGGATATAATTCTTCTCAAGTTGGCCAAAATAAAAATAGCAAATTCATCCTTGCACTGGTTTTCCAGGAAAATAGATATGGGGTTGATTTCAATATCTCAAACACAGCATTAACACATTAAACGCAGTCATCCATCCAAATATAAGTAATATAGCACCTACCTATAAGGGTTTGTGCAAGGCTGTTATTCTCAAGGTAATTGTAGACCAGTATTCTGTGATTTCCTTCCACACAACAGCCATATAACCTAACTAAATTTTCATGCTCTATTTCTGAGATCACCTTAATCTCTGTCAAGAATTCCCTCACCCCTTGTTTTGATTCAGCTGAAAGAACTTTAATAGCTGCAACTTTTCCACCTTTTAGCCGTCCCTAACCATTCACAAGAATTATTCTAAGTTTTCATTCAAAAGAAAAGGAAGGAGAAATCCATTTCAAATGCAAGCAATACTCAAAGCATCAAGTTAGAAAGATTTGCAATTACCTTGAAAACAGAACCAAAACCGCCCTCTCCAATTTTATTGGCAGGACTAAAATCTTCAGTGGCATTTCGCAGTTCTTTGTATGTATAAAGTCTGACATTGTGAAGACCAGAAAATTCTGTTCCCAAGTACATTTAATCAAAATCTAACAATAGTAGAAGATATTTTTTTGAAGGTATAAAGAACTAAATATCATGATAAAAGCATACAAACATAAGCTTAGAAAATAATCAAATCTAAGTAACTAAAAGTCCTATAATCTCTTCTGTCTTAGCATCACAACTTATACGAAACATATGTTCCACTAACCTCCTTCAATGTCTGGATCTAGCCCCGCTGAAGAATGCGACCTTCTACCAAATAATACAGGAAAACAAGTCATGACTGAATGAAGTACCAATGAGCACCTTTGAATATAAAATGGTAACAATCGCTTCAAATGAAAACACTTCCAAGGCCACCTGATCGAACCACCAAAGTAACAAATTTCAATGTTTCAGGAGATATGCAAGTGGAAGACAAAAACAACTAATTGAACAAGATAGTGCATAACTTTTTAAGTTTTCAAATTTCATAGGAGCTGAACAAAGTACAAAAGTTTATAGCATCGGATAGAACAATGGATATATTAGCTCCAATTTTCCCACCAAAACTGCAATAAAATTAAAAAAAAAAAGGGGATCCTCTAATAGGAGTGTTGCATCAAAAGAAACAAACGCATGATTATAATTATACAACAGGAGACATATAGACATTAATTTATGACAAAATTAACTGATTTAGGAAATTTAGGCTGGCAAAACAACTTTTTTCAGCAAATATGCTTGAGGATTCCATAAAATGTCAGGGCGACCGGGAAAATAAAAGGCATGTACTTTGAGATGTTTTCTATTTTCCCATGAACTTTTATTTTACTAAGCACCCTGGTTAGCGTCATATTCAGCCACTACTATCTCCTGAATGGTTATCAATAATGTCTTTAACAGCTCTAAGAAGATAAAAATATGTTTTTTTATTTAAAAACAAAAAACAAAATTTCCCAGAAACAGAGGTTGCAGTGGCAATCAGAGACCAACAACAAAATCTAGAGCACTGAAAATGGGAAAAGAAAAGTGATAGCACTAATAATTTGATAAAAATATAATGCAGACAGAGAGAGAGAGAGAGAGAGAGAGAGAGAGAGAGAGCACAAACCCATAATCGAAGGCAACACAGAAAAAGGGGAGAATGAGCGAAACGAACCTCAAAGTGATGGGAACAAGCGGAGTAGAAGGTGGAAAAAGAAATTAAGGAGAGAAGGGAAGGGAATGAATGTGTAGAGAGATGATGAGATGCGATATTTAGTTGTGGGTGCGCTGGTGAGGTTAATAGTCTAAGCAAGGTCTCCCAAAAGACACGCACGTACTTTGACTCTTTCAACATCTCTTGTCGCTGGCTCTCTCTTCACATTTCGTGTTCGACGACCAAGACTTACAGGTGGTTTGATCAACGGAACCGCGTATCGGCGTATGTCATGTACCCGCAAAGGCGAAAACCCATAGGCGCGAGAGAGAGTTCCATCTTTTTTTTTTTTTTGGTTTGGAACCAGAAGGAGAAACTGAGCAACAAAAGCAGCAAAATAAAAACTAGCCCGGCGAGACAATCTCTTTTCATAAAAGGTAAGGGTTGATCAAAAATATAAATTCACTTATTCTATCACAAACAAACTTAGTCGAAAAATAAATACAGCAATTTGCTTCCCTAAATATAAGATTTAAAGAAATAACCTAATGCTTACACAGAAGCACATGAGCTTCGAAAATAATATAAAAAATGGATGTTGATCATTCTTGCAACGAAACCGTAGATTCAACATATCAGCACAGTCAGTGAAAACACTGGCATTCTTTTCTCCCAGCACAAAAGAAGACCATGAACAATTGCATGTAATTTCTTCACAGCAACAAGATAATGACCAACACAAATATTGAACCCATATATCCAATTAGCATCACAGTCTCTAACCACACCCCCCACATTTACCAAATTCATTCCTGACAAAACTGTCAACATCCAATCTAACAGTCTCATTGCTAGTCTAGACCAATGTTCTAGGGGTACTTCTAATTGCTTTCCAAAAGTATGTGATAACTTGGTCGCCTCCAAATCATATTTCCCTTTTTGTAAGCACGCAATACTTGAACCAATTCTCTCATAGTCTTCACTTGAAAAGGCCTTCCTACATTTTTCACTCCAAATATCCCGACAAACATAGTCAAAAGACACGCTCCATAGGACTTGATTCGTAAAACTTTTACCTGTAGCTTTTTTGAAGTTTCAAAGAATCCATTCCTCTCTAGTTAGTTGTTTGAACTGGCTTTAAAGTGCAAGTTTAACTAGCCCCTTCCAGTGCTCTTCTGCACGTGGACAATCTTTGAATGAATGCATCTCATCTTCAAAGTTACTGCATCTAAGGGGGTATAGGTTGAAACCCCCAATCCCTGTTTTGATGTAAGCTCCATTGTATGGACTCTATTATAAGACTTTAATCTTTTTTTGTCCTCACCATTGCCAAATTTTGTTCCACACTGCATCCTCCTTACTATTGGTACTTGTAAGAAGAAAATTATAGGCAAAATGTACATTAGAGTAGCCATCAGTGGATGGTCTCCAAATAAAGGTATCCTCTCCTCTCCTCTCTCATCTCTCCAATTTACTAACGTCCCAAGGTACCTTTTGCCAGTGGGATACCATAATAAGCCCAATTGTCTAACCAAAAATTAGTAGATTGACCATTTCTCACTTTTCTACCAACTCCTTCATAAAACTTATTACAACACTTCATAAGACTTCTCCAAGTCAAAGAAGCATTTTGCTTCTTTCCCACCTTCGACACCCTTCCATCACCATAGTTATACTTACTTTTCAACACCTTTACCCATAGGAAGTCATCATTATTCAGTAATTTCCAACAAAGCTTGAAGATAAAAGATTTGTTTTGTTTGTCCAAATCCTTAATCCCTAAACCCCTACTCTTCTTATCCCTTGCAATAGCATTCCATGACAGTAGATGTAATTTTCATTTTTCCTCATTTGAACCTCACAAGGAGCTTCTACAAATTTTCTCCATCTCAAACAAGAGTTTATTTGGCAAAATCATTGTCTGCATATAATAACTTGGTAGGGTTGTAATGACAAATTTTATAAGCACAGATCTCCTAGCTATATTGAGGAAATTAATTTTCCATCCCAACTTTCTATATCTTACCTTCTTAAGAATAGGAGAAAAAAATATTAAAGGATGCTCTCTTATGAAATATAGGTATTCCCAAGTATTTACCGAAGTTATTAGTTAAGCCAACATGCAGTTTCCAGCTCAAATCAAGTGCCCTATTAAAGTGAACATTCTTGGAATAGCACATTTTACTTTTTTTATAATTCATCTTTTGACCTGAGTGCTGGCAAAACACTTTCATACATTGATCAATCACATCAATTTGATCAGTAGATGCTTTTGCAAAGAGAACCAAATCGTCAATGAAAAAAAGACGAGACAGAGCTAGCCCCCCTTTTTCTAACTGGATTGGCTTCTGGTCTCCATGATCAAAAGCAACAAATTACATTGTCAAATTAAATATTTCATGTATCAACAACAAGTTCCATGGGGAAGAATTATACATGGTCACACAAAATAAAAATATTGTGTTAAACAAGAAGTTGTTCAAGGCTAAAGTATATATTTAGTCATCTAATTTTATATAAGATTTTAGTTTAGTCCCTTAATTTTATAAAATATGTTTTTAATTCTCTAATCCTAATACCATTAGTTCAAAATAATTATTTTTTATACTAATTATTGTTATTTTTAAAAAAAATTAAACATATATGTCAACATTTGAGGATGTTTTGTTAATGTTTAAATATTTTTGCCAATAAAATTAATTGGGTTACGATTAAAAGATTAAAAATACATTTTATAAAATTAAAAGACTAAAATAAAATATTATATAAAGTTAAATGACTAAATATAAACTTTAACATTTTTTATATATAGATGCACCAACCTAGTTGTCCTTTCAACCACCAAATACAAATCTTGTTGTTGCTTTTAAAACTGAAAAATATTAAGGGTCAATGACTCAATGGAGAGTTTAATTAATCTTTATTGGAGATCATCTTTATATTTTTCTCTCTCAACATGTGAAAATTAACCGATTATCTTTTTTTTTGTTTTCTATGAAACTTTGAATGGACTTAATACATAATCAAATGAACACATAGGAAAATAAACTAGTTAAATATAGGATCTAAATACGAGAATTACAAATCCCATCACTCAATAAGTATTTCTCATGACGATTTAGACATAGTAAATTCAATTGAATGGTTGTAGATGATAGCACAAGAAACAAACATAGATCTACCTTTTATATGCTCTATATCTTAATTCAACAATTTATTTAGAGAAATGGTTAAAATGTAACATCATAGAGTCATTATTTAACTTATTGTTTCATTTAGTTTTGATCAAGTATGACTTTGCAAATATTAATGAAATCAGTTGTAATTTAGACACTCATTAGATGAAGGATTAGAGACACAATTCAAATGTGTCACGTTTATCAATATGTTAGGGGTTGAAGATTTTTTTTTTCTCCTAATTTTTTTTAGAAGTATTTGGCACCCTATATTGAAGAAAGGTGGGGAATATTCTCCTAAACAATTTTTTCATGAGCAAAACCATTCTTCCATCATAAAACATTCATCTCTTATGTTATCTGCTAATATGAAATATTTATAAAACCTATGTACAGTAATAATAAGGCATTCTAATCCATTTTGACTATCTTATGTGGGTCAAAGAGGCTAAAAGTGATAGTGGCAAGAATTGACGTTGGTTTTAGTGGCAAAGTTGCAATAAAATGGGTCAGAATGTTTTGTTGTCATTATGCATGAACCCATAAGTATTTCATGCAAGCAAATAATGGAAAAGATGACGAGTTTTGATGGAAAGGTAATTTCACTTCTGAAAAAAAAATTGTTTAAAGGAATACTACCCACCCTGGTGCTTAGCACTCCTAAAAAAATTAAGGAGAAATTTGTCTTTAACCTATCTATTAATTAAGAAATTTTACCATACTTTTCATGTCATATAACTCTGTCCATGTTAAATTGTTAATTATCACTTCTCATGTCTTTTGTATGTTGTTTTACTATTAGAGTACAAATTATAATAAATAAATTTAATTTAATATGTCATAGGCCCTTCTAAAATTTTCTAATACATTCTTAACTTAATAATTGCTGATTTTAGGATAAGTGTGTAAAAAAATGATATAGAGTTAATCTTTTAAAATGACAAAATAGATAAAAACAATTATTTTCATAAAATAATGGTTAAAATGAAATATAAGAAGTGTTGTTGTTATTATTCTTACTACTTAAATTAAAAGACAAGAGATGAAATAATGATAATAGTTAGATCGTGAGTAGAAGAAATTATTTGATCCTTTTTATATATGCAAGTGTTTGTGTCCAAATTATGAATTTAAAGGTTTGAGTTTAACTCAACTTCATCAGCCTTAACCACTAAGTCATGAATATTTATGAAGCCTTAGCCACTAAGTCAAAACTAGGTTTAGGCCATTATCTCCATACTCTACCCATTATGCTTGAATTATGAAAGTTATTAAAGTGGCCACGATGAAGGAAGAGCTTTCTACATTTAAGAAAAGTGGCAATTATGGGGCTTGGGTACCAAGCTAAGGACCATCTATAAATAGACAAACCCTCTCTCATAAAAGAAGAGGAATCATTATTAATAAACTATCAGTCTAATTCTCAAACTCTTCATCTTCTACTTTATTTTTCCTTTTATCATGTAGTTTTAGTCTTTACTTTTCTGTTGCATGGCTGGCATAGCCCACCACCTCTTTTGTTAATTGATGTATTTCTGCTTCCTTGCATCAACATTAATTTTCTTTATTTTGCATTCTCGTATCCAGGTGAATCATGGTAAGAGAACCCGGGTTCCTCACATTTGATTATAAGTTAGGTTTTTTCATCCTTTTGAGACCTCACATCTTTAACACTCCTTACAACACCCTCCTTTTTCACCGAACAATCTTTTAGCACACCTCATAAGACCCATGTGAATGGAACGCCTAGGACACGTAAGGATCAATATGTTGTTGGAAAGAATGGACTTGAGTCTTACGATTTAGAGAATGTGGTTGCGCACGTAGAATGTGAAGTATGGACTTCTTGCACTCTAATGACTGTAAGATGACATGCAACACCTCCTTAAGGAATGCCTTACCCACTAGCTCGGGATGAGAGTCTCAAATGCTCTCGCTTAGGCAAACCTCTTATTATTGTGTCTAATGATGTTGTGGCTTTATCTTTGACCATGATATAGGACTGTATCAATAAGAAAGCAACGACCTCACAAACACTAGTAAAGGAACTTGAGAGACAAAATCTGAAAAAGAAGCAAGAGTGAGCCAAAAGCTTAGGAGAAGTTGGAATGCTAGGCTAACAAGAGACAACGAGCTCTGTTACAAACTCTAAAGGACGGGTTAAGGAACATCTCCACTATGTTGTCTAGGCTATTGAGGAGTAAGATCTAATTGGCTCGCATGTTTAAAGAATAGATGGACTCAAGGGGTACTCTCCCAATGTGCCCTTCGACGAGAAGATCAACAATGAGGATTGCCATAACATCCCTCAAAGGAGAAATGGCAGGTTTAACTTAATGGCAAGCTCGTTCGACCACCAGGGAGGATAAAGGACAAGATATTGTGAGAAAGAACAACAACACCACCAAGACATTTTTCATGAAACTCTTCTGAAGTAGCTCCATTCAACCAATGCTCTCAATAAGTCTCTCCAATAAATGCAAACAGATCTCAAGGCTAAAGCTGGGCCTATGAGCTAAGTCACCATTGAAAAGCTCGGGGGCAGTCTATGTAGGCTCACCAAGACGACTCTGTCTCTAAGGTGTCTTTTTAAGAAACTTTTTAGGCTGAGGAGAAGTGGACAACTTTACCTAAGATGTGGGAAGAAACTTAAAAGTCAACAAAAAACTCAAGAAGCAACATCCAAGGGCTCTTAAAAAGAGATGAGCAAGGCCTTGAGCTAACAACTTCTACAACCCTGATACCTGGACTGTCAATTTCTAAAACCATAGTGCTTAGCTTGTCATATTCGTTAAGTCTTGAGGTGTCATTTTTTTGTGGCCCTAGTACTTGAGTTGTCATTACCTATGGCCCTTAGTCGATCAAACTCAAATGATTTTGATATAAAGGAGTCATATTTTAAGAGACTGAATCCTAAGTTGTCAATCCCACGAGGGCCATGTTCATAGAGATCGGATCCTAAACCGCTAATCCCACAAGGACTAACTTCATAGGAGTTCTCTCCCCAAAGGCTTTCTCCATAAGGTCAAGCTCACAGTAACTAAATTTTGCAGGACTAGCCCTTGAGGTCCTAAAACTTGAAGGGCTAATTTTAAAACTAGCTCTTGAGATCCCAAACCTTGAGAAACTTGATTCTAAGCAAGACTATATGGCCCTTAATCCTTAACTACAAGAGTGTCCTCTAAAAAAATTACTAGATCAACCATCAATCAAAACGGAAACGAGAAAGTTCTCCAAGACATATTACTCACACAACACTTGGCAGTAGGGCCAACAGAAATATCCATATAAAATTGGCCTACAAAGGCTCCGACCAATTTATATGTGAAGGGAATTATTTGCATCCAAATTGTGAATTTGAAAACTCGAGTTCAACTTAATTTAATCGACCTTTAAATAATTAAAAATGAACATTTATGAAGCTTTAGTACAAAGTCAAGTCTAGATTTAAGCCATTATTTCCACATTCCACCCATGATGTTAAAATTATAAAAGTTGGAAAAGTGACCACAACGAAGGAAGTGCTTTTTAAATTTAAGAAAAGTGGTGATCATAGGGTTATGGCACCAAGCCAGAACCATCTAGAAATAGAAGAGCCCTCTCTCATAAAAGAAGAGGGATCATCATTAACGAATTGCCGGTCAAATTTTCAGACTCCGTGTCTACTGCTTTATCTTTTCTTTTATTATGTAGTTTTAGTTTTTACTTTTTTATTGTATAGCCGGTACCGCCCACCATCTTTTTCTTTAGTTAATGTATCTCTGATTTCTTACATCTACATTAATTTTTTTCATTTTATATTCTCACATCTGGGTGAACTGTGATAAGAGAACTTGGTTTTCTCATGTTTTATTAGAAGTCAGGTTCTTCTATCTTTTTGAGACTCTTGCATCTTTGACATACCTGATGACACCTTTTTTCACTAAACAACAAGTTAAAGAATTCTGAACCTTGTATGTCAAAAAGATGGCATTAGAATAACTTTCTCCATTATTTAAGTGTATCATGAAAAATATGAGATAATTATAGGAAACAAATAAAGTAAGAGGTGAGGTTGACCAAGAGAAACTCGGGTAAGCTACGAGTGCGAACAGTGAAAGCACTCGATCTCTCCTTCATAGTCCTTTTAGGAATGCGAAGGAAGCACCATCTTTGACCAAACTATTTCTTCTTTGCAAAAATAATAATAAAAATAATAATAATAATAATCATCATCATCATCAATTCATCATCATCATTATCATCTAGGAAACATATTATCTATCACCTAAATTATAAAACACTTTTGAATAAAATTTTACATACTGATAAACATTATTAAATATACTTAACAACATTATTTTTTCAAAACAAATATATAAACTTTTAAAAATACTTTTCATTTAATATATTGAAAAAAAAGAATAACAAACCATTAAAGAGAACAAGAAAGTACTATAATATTAGAGTAAGTCTATTTAATGAAAATTTCAGTATTTTCAAAGTGTCTTATATTTTGAGATATCAAATTTTTTTAAAAAAATGTCTTATAATTTGAAAAAGAGGGAGTATTATATTGATTCACACATCTTAATTTCATGTTTCAAAAAATGGCAATAATTACTTCATCTACATCACTATATAAGACATTTTCTAAAAGCTTTACTTGATTCAAAATATAGGATATTGGATAATTTTTATAATTATTTTATCAACTATACCCCTATTTTATATATTACTTTTTTTTAAAAAACGATGTATTGAAATTTTAATTATTATTATCAAGGCAATTCTATAGGATATTTAATAAAGGTATAATTAAAAAGATACAAACTTTTCTAAAATAACTAAGATTTTAACTAATTTTTTTTAAAATCACGAATTAATTACTAATGCTTTATATGTTGATGCGAGAATAAGCGCCAGACGCTTAAATTCAATAGGTGTGAACATAATTAATTAGGTGCGCATGCATCAAGCTCGAACTAATTGACACTAATGAGGGACGTGAACACAAATTGACCGAGTAAATGCCAATATTCCATGTAGGACTTCTATTTTGCACTGCTTTCACATCTCAAAATTGCCTTCCAATATGTTCCAACATTGCAACCTTACTATATATAAATATAAAATTTGCAATTTGTAAGTTCAAATTGAAGGAGGCTAACACAAATTTTGACTTTAATATTTTAATTTAGATTACTTTTATAGTGCAACGAAAATCGCGGTTCTTGGACGTGTACTTAATTAAAATGTGTTTACCCACATACACGCACAAACACAAGGATATTGGGTCTTGTTCATACGGTATGCGGACATGCAGACAGAGACTAAGGCAAGTTCAAGTCACAAATTACCGTACTTTGAAGTTCTATAAAGCAACATGAAACATGGAAAATGAGATTGGTGGCGCATGAATCATTGTAGAAGATGGAAGGAATAGAAGCTCGAGTCTAAGGAATGAAAGATGTAAAAGCTAATCGAAATGAAGACGACGCGAATATGCCTTGGCCTTCCTACGCATGTTCCTCTTCATTCATTATGAGATTCAACTCCTTGCAAGGCCTAAGTAAACCCTAGAAGGAAGCAGCCTGCCTTCATAGTTTTTTTTTTTTTTAATATAAAGGTAAAAGGATATGCTGGATGAGCTAACTCACATAATAATTCCTAGACAAACTTTAGTATGGTCATTAATTTTAGGTCAGGACAAAGTTGAAAAATCAAATAATTATATATTGCCAACTTTCTTAGATCGGGGATCGTAGAACCCAGGATGAAAGATAGAGCTCCCAAGCCTCCTGCCCCATTGACAAATTGGGCCGAAGGTGGCCCAATCTTGAATAGATTTTAGGAGGGGAATTCAACAAGTGGATGAAAATAGTTTGACATGGCATGTTGTGGATAAGATTGGGAAGATCATATCCCAAGCTCTTCACTAAATCACTGCCACGTGTCAGGTAGCAATGTTTCCGCTCCCGGAACTAGTTGTATTATCCCGCATGTTGCATTCTTATTTGTGAACCCAGAGCGAGTGGCGTGTGCGTTGTGTGAGAAACGAAATCAGGAGCTAAGCATCGCTTTGTCCATGGCATCCTCTGTGATGGCTTCCGTGTCTCTAAAACCAGCAGCTTTCACCATTGAGAAATCGGCAGTGAGAGGCCTCCCTTCCCTCTCAAGGTCGTCTTCCTCCTTCAAGGTCGTCGCCAGCGGTGGCAAGAAGATCAAAACCGACAAGCCCTATGGTCATTCTTCATCCATCACACCCCAATCTATCTAATCTCTCTTCATATATATTTTAAACTCTCTATCCCTCTCCCTATTTATATATATATGTGGTTGTAATTATTTGTTTATTGGGCTGAATGATTTGCAGGAATCAACGGTGGCATGAACTTGAGAGATGGTGTTGATTCTAATGGCAGGAAAGGAAAGGTTTGTTTCTGCTTTGTTTTTATATCGTATTGATTATTACAGTCGATAATACCTAATATTTTGAACAGCTAAACTAGATGTGGGTGTGATTCTTCTTGATATTATCATCCGAGCTATGCTATCGCCTTTCTAGTATTAATAACTACATCTTGGATAATTTTTGTCAAAGTCGCTTCATAATTAATGTGCAGGATCTCCCTTATACTCCTAAGTGAGTATTTCACTATTTTGTACACTTTTTCTTTCTTTTCGTTTCTTTTCGTTTCTTTTCGTTTTTTTTTTTTTGGAAATACAAATCGTGAAATTCTATGAAGTGAAGTGGGTTCTTCTCCACAACAGTCAACAGGGCTTGTAAACAATGGTATTTGATTATTTTGATGAGTTTTTGTTAATGAAATGTTAACCATTGTTGCACGGTTAAACTGAGGCTGCAAATAGGAAATAAGTTGACAGATTTATTTCGTCAAAATCATGTTATAAGAAGGAAGGAAAGAGATTAAAGTTGTGAAGTAGGAAGGGAAGCAAGACTGAACTGTGGTACTAATGAATGAAAGGCATATATAGCGATAGTATAGTTAAATAGCAGTAGAAGTTGAATGAAAGTAAAGTGGCTGTACTGGTTGTGTTATCAGGGGAAGGGTGTGTACCAATTCGTGGACAAGTACGGTGCTAACGTGGATGGCTACAGGTGATTGGATCATCAAATCTGCCTCTAATGATTATGTGAATGTTAGCTTTGATTAATGATTGGATGGTGGGAATCAGAGGTACTAATTAAAGCCGCGTGTGGCTCTTGTTTTATGCATGCAGTCCTATCTACAACACAGATGACTGGTCTCCAAGTGGTGATGTGTACGTTGGAGGTAAGACATTGTTGGGCGTGTCTATATATATATATATGTATATCTATGTGTTTATGTATATGTATATATGAAGCTAAGAAGCAGCAACACACAAATACACACACAGAGGTTTAGGTGAATTAGAGTTGCAATGCATGGACACCTAAAACTTGATGGAAATGATGATGCAGGAACCACAGGGTTGGCTATATGGGCAGTGACACTGGCAGGTCTTCTAGCAGGGGGTGCTCTACTTGTGTACAACACCAGTGCCTTGGCACAATAGACTAATATGTAAACAACCCACTCCTTAATCCTTGTCTCTCCCTTCAGTTAAGTGTTCTCTGTGTGGGCCTCAGGCTTGGATGATTCTCTACTTTATGAAGCCTACTTACTTTTCCCTTCTTCATGTCATATATTCGTATATTCATCCTTTCAACTCTTGCTGGTTTACTCCTTTTGGGCTTTTTAGCTGTATCAACCTTGGCCTTATAAACAGGACTCTTTCTAAGTTGAAATTCCATATATTTTCATCAAAATTCAAAGAAAAAAATTGTGTAATTTGCCCTGAAAGTTAATATAATAATACATGCCTTCTATTTAAGATCCACTTTTTTTGCGGTGGGGAGGGGAGAAAATTGTGTAAGTTTGCCCTAAAAGTTAATATAATTATACACGCCTTCCATTTAAGATCCACCTTTTTTTGGGGTGGGGAGGGGAATAAGATAATATCTATACTATGGGGAATAAGATAATATCTATACTATTTTCTTGATGTATGGGTCGTTCGTATGAGCTATGGGGCTCTGCGCGCATAGACCTTGCAATGTTTTTATTTTATTCTTTTAAATGATCGGTGCTTAACATGATAATAACATCATGTTCTACCAATGGTACCTAAAATAATATCACTCATGGGCATTGTGGGAAATGACAATTATTATTTGACGTAACGTTACAAATATATTTACACAAACTTAGAGATCATTTATATATTTAATTATATTTTAGATATTTTTATATTAAAATAATAGTAGTAATTAATATTAATTTGAGCACTATGGCTAGCACAATGGGAATGTATCTTTTGATATAAAAAAAAAATGGTAGAGGGGAATGGAATTAAAAAAAAAAATAAAGTAAGTTAGGTGATAAGTAGCTTTCAATATGGAAAGCAAAGATTTGCAGTTGGAATTGAATCTGCGCTCACATACCAACCTAACCCCTTACATTTGAACTTCCTTTCATGATTACTACTACTTGCACGTGCCGCATTTTCTATTCTTGTTTATCGTTTCCAAATTCACTCTTGGGGTATCACGAATAACAGCTCACTGCTTTTAGCTTTTTAAATTTAGTACAACTCATTTTCTATCATTATTTAACTTAATGAGTTACGAGGATTGTATCAAATATCATTACTAATTTAAGTGGCCCACTGAAACAAAAAATATTAAATAAAAATGTAACTCAGAGCAAGACAAGGAAGCTTCCAAGCAAGATGAGTGACTTGTTGAGCAAGCTCATTTCCATCTATAAATAATGCATTTGACTAGCCATTTTGTGCATTAAGTGGTGAGTGAGAAAAGTTGAAAGAAAAGAAAGAAGGGGTTCTGTGGGTAGTGAGCAAGGAGTGAAAGACATGAAAGAGAAAGAGAGAAGAAGAAGTATTGCGTGAAAAAGAGAAGGGAAAAAGTTTACAGTTTAGTGTAGTTTGTAGTTTGAGTTTGCAATAAAGTTTTTTCATTAGTAGGTCCCTCTTCTCATTTTCTTCAAATATCTTGGGTCTTTTCCACTTATAGATCCTATAAGTAGTATCAAAGGTTGATTATGAGTATGCTCTATGATTGTAGCTTAGGCTAATCTTCCACATCAGAGAAGAATCTAAGGACTCAAACTACTCCAAGTCTTGTATGTGGTGGAGATTCTACTTATGCACAATTTGGAATTATGAGTTCATCAGTTTGGAACTAAAATTACTTAGCGAGATGCAAGGCTGCTAAAACTAATTCATGATAGCAGATTTAATCAATGTTAGTATTATTAAGAAATTAAATAACAACAACTATAGCATGTGGAAGACATGCATGGAGTCATACTGGCAAGGCCAAGATCTTTGGGAGATCATTGTCGGGACCAAAACTACCTCACCACCTAAAGAAGAAGCCGACAATCTTAGGAAGTGGAAGGTTAAAGCTCGGGAAGCCATTCTCGCCATTAAAACCACCATCGAGGAAGAAATGATGAAGCATATCAGAGAAGCTACCACATCGAGGGAGGCTTGGGATTCTCTTGCTTTACGATTTGCAAAGAAGAATGACACAAGATTGCAATTGTTTGCATGTTACTAGTACTTGCAGCTAGTAAGAATTCAAATTTATGGCAAATAGATGTGAAGAATGCCTTTCTGAATGGAGAGATTGATCAAGTCATGTACTTGGACCAACCTAAAGGGTTTGAGAGCAAAATCAACTGAAAAAGGCTTTGTTTGGGTTAAAGCAAGCTCTTGGAGATTGGTATGAAAAAATTGGTGAGTTTTTCACTCACAATGGCTATAAAGTTGCCTCAAGTGATTCAAGTTTGTTTGTGAAAGATCAAGAAGGGAGATTGTTCATAATCCTAGTATATATAGATGATCTCATTATCATTGGAGATAATGAAGAAGAAATTTAGCAGGCTAAGGAAAATTTATCATCTTGCTTCTATATGAAGGAACTTGGACAACTAAATCACTTTCTTGGGTTAGAAGCGAAAAGAACATAAGATGGATTATTTGTAACATTCCAAAATTTAATTAGGAGTTAAATTTATTGATTGGACTTGTTAGAGGGTTTAATTAATTAATTGGACTGAATAGGGGTTAATTATTGGACTAGAAAGGCCATTTAAGCCTATTAAGCCCCTAAGAAGGTTTGAATTAAGGTTTAAAGGCTGTTGGGTTGGATTTAGGCCTAGAACCTTAGGATTAGTAAAGCTGTTGTTTTTGTGCTATTTGCTGTAACAAACAATGAATCTAGCTTGTCAGATTTTAAATATTGCAAAATGTAACCAGTTTGCATTTCAACGATGAAACTTGGAGAGAATTCATGAGAATAGCAATGTGGCTCTGCTAGGTCTACTTGGGAGTGATTTTAAAGGCATTTTGGAGCATACAAGTAATTGAGTGAGCCCTAAACACTCTCCTTCTTCTTGATGATTATGGTAGTTTTATTACTGTAAGGGTTAGAATCCAAACTTATAACTAAGTTGTAGTAACTTTTGGAGTATAAATAAAGGTTTTAATTGTTATTTAATGCTCCTCTACTTAGGTTCTAATAGTTGGTAGCATTAATGTCATTGATGAGGGTTTAGAGTTAACTCTAATACTAAGACATTAAGTTTAAGCTAATGAGGTATTGACAGTGATTATTAGAATTAATGAAGGTCAAATAACCTAATGAAATTTAGTTTGGGGTTAAGATGGCTTAATTACGCGTAGTGGCAAATTAAGCCTTAATTGTGATTAAGGGATAATTAATGATAATTAGTCATCGATGTTGTGTTTTGATGATTTTATGTGTAGAGCATAATATTTTGGAGTTTTAATTGATGGCAAGCTCCCTTTGAACTCCAAAGTTACACTTTAGGGTAGTAAACCCAAGAGTTGAGGTAATTGGGAACCTTATAGTTGCATATTATTGTGTTTGCAAAAATTAATTATTGAGCATGTGATTAATGATATGGGACGTTTGGCATGGATTTTCTATGTTATTGTGATATTGAGAATGTTATTATATTAAGAGATTGCTTAATTGTGATGTGGAATTGATTAATTATCTTGGCATTAGGCATGTAGATAATGTATTGCTGGTAGTAAGCCTAGATTGACTGTAAATGTTTGTTGATGTTGAGGTAATGGAAAGCATGTTCAACTCATAATTATTTGATGCAATAGTTAACTTGCTTCATTAATATTAGCATGAAATGTGGTCATATAAGCTTTGTCAATGGAAGTATGCTAGTTATGAGTATATGCATGAGTAAATTGCATATGAACGTTGACTTGAAATGAGTATGGTGGGTGTGAGTTCACCCTAGTTTAGCTGAAGGCTAGTCAAAATAAAAATCCACGTGAAGTAGCCTCCATTGAGTTAGTGAACAGTGGCTAGCATCCTTGATTACTAATGTGTTTAGCATTGCTAACAACCTATAATGTGGCATAAGTCAAGCAGGATGCTTAGTATCACTAATCCTAGATTGGACAATATAGGTCGGGCAACTTATGACACCTCAAAATTTAAATAAGGGGAACTCATTTGTTCAAGAGTGAGTGTGGGAGCCTTTGGCTAGGCGAACCCCTTACAATTGGAGAGCAAGACTAATTTCAGTAACATGAACTAGGCTTGTACAATTTAATAGCTCATAGGTTTGGTCAAATGATATAAGAGAGATATAAGGTAATTGTATAATCATGAGCATGTTTGCTTGTACAAATCATTGTTTATGAGATTGTTAGATCTTACTCCCATTACTTAATGTTTTTTGAGGGATGAGAAGGTGAAAGGAAAAGGGGAGGCATCAACACCCAAGAAGTAGAGATTAATTTGTAATGTCTTTAGTTTAACTTATGTGTAATGGTATTGTTCATCTACCAATTCTAGAACAAATATATAGTTTTGTATACGTGAGGATTATGTTTATTTTTATATGATCCTAAGTGTTATCGTGAGCAATTTTATGATTGTTAGCCCCCTATTTTTAAGTGAGAGGCCAACCATGCAAATGTGTGAATGTTGTAACTAATTGAAGTGCCTATTCTGATACAATATAATAAGGAGAAGAATATTTGTGCATGTCTATGCTTGTGCGTTTGAATATACCGGATTGAGAGGGGAGACACTTTTATTATGCAAAGAGTCTTAGTACTCAAGTTGGCACATAGTGTTTTAGGATCCTCATGCATTGTGGGATTGAGATAGAAATAGTATCTATAGCTAGATTACTTGATTGCATGCGTTTGGACACTTGGATTTCTCCAATTAGAAGTCTAAGTAATTAAATGAGGGGAGTGTGAAGTTGGTTGCATGATTACTATTAAGGCTATGCTGATAATGCGGTGAGCATGCTTGTTAGTATTGGCCTCAGTGAGAAGGCCGCTATGCTATATGCTGAGCAAGAAAAGCAATAGCTGCAGCGAGGGTCTGTTGGTAGAGTTGGTTGCGACAAGGGTGTCCTCCACCAAGACAAGTGAGTATATGCACGTTGGTCGTGGTGAGTATGGTTTTGCTCACAGTACATGATTCATAGTATAGTTGGCCACGAGGACATGCTTTTAGCCGTAGCGAGCTTGTACAATTTTCAAGAAATTCCAATGGCATCCTTTTGTGTGAAATCCCAATTAGTTTTGAAAATATGTTAGTTAGTCTTTAATGACTTAAGGATCCCAATTATCCACTTGTTGTTGAATTGTTTTAAAAGAGAAAGCTATAGATGATCTATTGGTTTAAGGTATTAATTAGTAGGATTAGTTAGGGGTTAATGATAGAGGTTATTACATTGTTCTTATGTCAAGTTAAGCATGCGAGAGATCTTCTTTAGAAGTGCAAAATGATTGGATGTAAACCTCTTGCACTTCCAATAGAGGTGAACTCCAAGCTAAGCATATCAGAAGGAAAAGATTTGAAGAATACAGTTATATACTGACAAATAGTTGGAAGTCTAATATATCTGACACTCACTCGACTAGATATTGCGTTTGCAATTAGAATAGTTAGTCGATTTATGCAAGATTCGAAAAAGCCTCACATGGAAACAATTCAAAGAATTTTGAGATATATTAAGGGGACACTTGACCTTGGTATATTCTATAAAAGTAGACTAGCATGCAAACTAGATGATATTGTGATGCTAATTATGCCGGTGATTGTGATACATGAAGATTGACTACTGGTTATGCATTTAGCTTAGGTTTTGAAGTTGTCACTTGGTGTAATAAAGGAAACCCACAATATCACTGTCAACAACAAAAGCAAAGCATTGTATAGGAATAATGGTAGTATAGGAGAACATATGATTAGTGCAATTGATAGAGAACCCAATTTTTCATGCAAGAACAAAGACATTGAGGTGAAATATCATTTTATTCAGGAAAAGGCACTTGCAGGAGAGATCAAGGTGATTCAAGTGGAGACAGATGACTAGCAAGCTAACATCTTCACCAAAAGTCTCAACAATGAAAGGCAGAGAAAATTTCGAAAGCTATTAGGCATGATCTCAAGGAAAGAAGTTAGGGAAGACATTAGTAATGAGAGAAAGTGTTAAATATCATTACAATTTAAGTGGACTACTAAAAACAAAAAATATTAAATAAAAATGTAACCTGGATAGCAAGACAAGGAAACTTCATAGCAAGATGAGTGGCTTGTTGGGCAAGCTCATTTCCATCTATTAGTCATTTTGTGCATTATGTAGTGAATGAGAAAAGGAGGAAGAAGAGAAGAGAAGGGGTGTCATGGGTAGTGAGCTGAGAGTGGAAGAGAGGAAAGAGAGAGGGAAGAAGGAGCACCACTCGAGAGAGAGATGGAAAAAAGTTTGTAATTTGGTGAGTTTGCAATAAAAAATTTTCTTTCATTTAAATCCCTCTTTTGATCTCATTTTCTTCAAATATTTTGGCTCTTTTCCTTTCATAGATGCTAAAGATTGAATTGTATCATGTCAGAATTTATGGATTTAATTGATAATTAAATGAAAGTTTAGAGATCAAAAGTTATATTATTACTTTCGTATGTTAATTTCACTTACTTAGCGTGAGTGAATGTTTAATTAGTTTCACAAGGTCGAAGTGGTGGCTTTGAAGCAGAGTTTCCGATACATGTATAGAATTGAATGAGAGTGAGTGATGAGATAAATCTTAAGGAGAAAAACTTGTTAATGAGTAAGAATGCTATGAACGCCTCACTCAATCCTTCAGCTAATAGCGTTCTGTAATCACTGATCGCTATCTGTTTGTCGTCTTCTAATTAAACAAAAGTGACAGTCTTCACGTACACCTCCATTGAATGAAAATAAATTAAATAAACATCGATATAAATCCAAATTCCCCAAATAATTGAAAAGAACCAGAAGCTTAGAAGTGTCGCTTGACCCGCATTTCACTCCCCAAACATATGCATAATCAAACGGTGACATGAGAGAGAGAGAAAATAATATCAATATAGAACAGCGGTACTCACGTATATATACTATCAGATTGTGTCTCTGTCATACAACTTTTACATCAGATTGGCCCATTTGTGCTAAATAATCCATTAGTTTTATATTAAGGTCAGAATCTTCAATATCTGCCTAATCTTAATTTACACTTCTGTCATCCACAGGGTAATTACATCAGCCATTATTATTATTTATCTAAGCATTTAGGGATATATAAATATGGTCAGCTTGACGATCATTCATTGATTGGGGGTATAAGTAATAAGGTTGGTTATGAGATTATTTTTTTTATCATATCAAATTTTTAATAATCCTTTCACTGATTATTCGAAAACACCAGGTCAAAAATGTACCGCATACTTACTACCTGTTTACATGTCATCATGAGAACATACTTCACCAAGTTGAACTAATAAAAAAGAAATCCCCACTTAATGTCAAGAGCAGATCTTCAAGTATGGAATGTGAAAAATTCATCCACTACAAGCACAATGAACTCCACATATATTTATAACTACTATATCAACCAGCACCCCTTACATACCAGTAAAAATGGGACATATATATCACTCAACATCTAATCAATACTGGGGAACATGTGGATTGTGTGCATATAAATTTTCTTGTTCCCCTCCACGCCCACGCAAACATGCAAAATAACTAATGACTGTTCCATAAATAACTGGGAATAGCCGTTTGAGGAAAGTGAGTCTGAGATGGTGCGTGAGCTTCAAAGCTGGTGGGAGATCCTTCATGAGTTTCCATCTTGGTGAGTTGAGTCAACAAAGCTTTGAGTACCTTGGAGTCGTGAGAAAAAGGGTCTAAGGAATCCAAGTTATTTGGAGGAGTACTTACTGTTGCTGCTGCTCCATTTGGTGGTTGGTGGTGATGGTGGAGAACGGTGGTGGGGTGACTGCTAGGGTTAGGGTTTGGTTGAAGAGGGAAAGTATGATTATTGATGTTGGAGAAGCAGGGCACTTGCTGATGATATTGATTATGGTGGTGATGAGCTGCAGAAGGCTGATCAAAACTGATGTAAGAATCCATTAATTCAGGGAGCGATGAAGAGCCAGCGTCGTCATAGCAGCTTCCCATGCCAGCTTTTCCATTTTCTTCTTCTCTGTTCTTGTAGAATACCCTACACAGCACCCAGTCTTCCTGTATGCAAACAAAAACATAACAAAATGCAGCTTACGTACATGGAATTAATTCCCTTGTGTTTTGCTATATATGCTCGAACTTTGACCCATGTATGATAAAAATAATTAATCACCCAAGCAGCCAAATATAAAAGCATTTTACTTGTACTATTCACTGCCTGGGGTAAGTAAAGAGGCTTACATGAGGGAAAATAAAAGAGGATCTTAGGTCATCTACCAAATATCATTTTCACAAGCGAGACAAATCTGGTTTTGATAAACAGCAAACAAACCCTACACACACACACACACACACACACCACACACATGAAGCATATAGCTAGCTAGGTTGATTGGTTGTTAAAACTTGACCATTTCTAATTAATTCTTTAAAAAAATTAAAGAACCCCCCATCTTCTGTGGACGAAATTTTAAAACATTATAAATCATGCTATTGTCTAGTCTACTGAGAGAAAAATGATATAGAAACTGACATAGAAACAATATTTATATAATCAAAATCATATAAAGACAAAGAATGCTATGCCATATTTCAAAAGGTTAGACCATGCTATAAACTAGAGTTAGAATTTTCTATTCGTGATTAGTTGTAACAGAAAAACAAAAGAAATTAATTGCATATTTGATACACGAAAAAAAGTTAATTTCCAATTAAAAGGAAGATAAGAAATGTACTTAAAAAGAAAGTGTGATAGATACGTGTTTTTCTCATTTCCTTTCTAGAAAACATTTTTCTACCTGCCAAATAATATTACATACGAGAGAACGAGGATAGGTAAGGGACCTTGGGGAAATGATGGGAAGGAGGAGGATGAAGGCGAAACTCGTGCATGACCCAGTCAGTCTTTTTGCCTTTGGGAGCCCTTCCTTGATAGAACACCAAAGTCTTTCTCATGCCAACCACTTTGGCCTTTCTTAGGACGGCCCTGTCCTTGCCGGTGGCCTTCCAATACCCCGACGCCGTCGCTCTATTTGTTCTCTGCCCCGTCGCATACTTTCTGTCTCTCTGCGTGTAGAAGTACCACTCCTTCCCTCCCACACATGCCGTTTCTGCATTCACACACACACCCAACCAACCACCTCAACGTCTTTCTATATAATGTACATCATCATTCATCAATCTGGTCAGCTACCTAGCTGTTATATCCAAGTCAACTATATCCATATATATGCCTTAGAATTTAAGTTCACATTAACAAACATTATCTCTTAGTTTTATATAATAAATCCATGTATTTTATTTCTCTTTGACTGAGAATATAATTATATATATGTTGATGATATCATGAACCTGGGCAGGAATTCAGCAAGTTACTATATGAGTCACTTGCTTTGGCATCGATCATATACATAGAGACTTTGAGATTTATTCTACAAAACCTAAATTCGTAATCTCTGGGGTGCTGAATGAAATTAAAACTTGCGCATGTGATTGAGAGTGAGTGTTGGTGTGTGTTGAGAGAGACCGGGGGGGAGGGAGGGAAGATAATTGAGACCATCACTTTCTGCCTAAGTAATTGGCATTTGTTTGATTCAATTATTGTTTATGTGTCCCCATTTATTCACATCCTTCTTCAAATTGCTTTTGTTTCTTCTGGCTCGCTTATCCGTTTTGTTTCTTTCCTAATAGGGATGCATTATATTCTTACCATCAAATTATATCAAAATAACTTATATAATAATGCTTTAAAAATATTAATAAAATTAAAGAATGAAAAGAAGAGAACACTCATGTATGTGTATATGTATGAACGATGGGTTGATGGGGGATGATTAGGATAAGATGCGATTGGATACAAAGTGATGTTGGTGAGAGTTGAAAGTTCAGTTCTTGTAAATTTACATAAAAAATCAATATTGTTACGCGAAGGACTGCAGTGAAAATTTATGTTTTTTTTATTATCATTAGAATCAAACTTGCAAGACGGGACAAATTAGAGTGCAATGATAAGTCAATTTATTCAAAGCTTTGAATATGATGTGTACATACATATTCATTTATTTACCGTTAATTAAGTTCAAGTTGTCAATTAATATCAATACAAAACTGTCTTATAATTTATAAATATATACGTAAAGGAATATAAATCTTCTTCATATTTTCATTAAAAAATTTATTAATGACTTGTGATCTCATCAACGGTAAATATTTCTTCCCTTCACTTTTCTCATCTCAATTATTGATTAATCATCTAATTTTCCCCTCTTAATTATATAAATCACATAAGCTTAATTACTTACATGCCTAGTGAACTTTTTCTAAATTCTAGCTAATTAATGTAAGATGTGCTAGATCAGAATGTAACTGGAAATTAAAGTGGAAAAAAAGGTAGAGAATATCAGAAATAGCTAAGCATGCAGGCTTGTAAAGTGACTTTCATGTAAATGTATTTCAAAGACTTCACTGATTGGCCTCGATCTGCATATGGGAGTACTTAAAATAATTTTCTGAAGTGAGCAATTATTGGAAAGCATCTTTCGCAAAACAAACAGTCGGCAAAAGACACGAATGAAGCTTAAATAATTTTGAGCAAGGTAGCGACAATATTGCAACATATGATGGCCGAAAGCAACATTTCGCCATTAGTGAACCAGAAATCAACATAAAACACGGATCAAACTTATCCATTAATAGCTCGGTCGATGCGTCGTTTTAAAGCAATGAAAACAAACATGAAGTAGCAGGAAAAAGCTTTGGAAACTTGGATTCAATTTCAGACCAGACCGTCCATTAAGAAAAAGCAAGAAAAAAGATCAAGTACGGACCTGGAATATCCCAAGGCTCACACTTGTTAAGGTCAACGTCAATCATGAGAGTGGAATCGGAATCATCACAGTGAGTGACTTTCTTCATCAAGTAATCGCACACAAGTTCTTCGTCTCTGGGATGGAACCTGAAACCTGGGGGCAACTTGGCCTCCACCATGCTGATATTGCTCATATTGCTTGAAATGAGGAAGACGATGATCAAGAGATGTATAGGAAATTCATGTGTGTACTGTGAGAGAGAAAGAGAAGAGAGGGATCTTAATTAGATTATGAGGACAAAGGGTAGTGGGCTATATATAAAAAAAAAATTTAAATGGAGGGATCGCAAGGTGGGTAAGTCAACTAGTAATTTCGTGAGGAGGAGGTGGAGGGTGGGGTGGGGAGAGAGAAAGAGAGTCTCTGAGTATGATGACGTGGACAAACCAATCGCTGCCAACTTTATGACGAGTACATCTTTCCTCTGTACCTGCACTGGGAATTTGGGATCTGAATAGATCCCTGTCATTCAGTGGCTGTTAACAATGCAATTTAAGATTTTATCCATGGTTCAAAATTCATGATTGGTCATAAATAAATAAGGCCTTAAATTAAAGGATCGTTTTATGATGTTACATACTCCCTCCGTTTTTATATATATAAACAAAATGTATCACATAGTTTAACAAAAATAATTAATCATAATAATTATATTTAAAAATAATAAAATTAAATTAAAATGTCCTATATTCATCAACATAAGCATGCATAAATTATTTTTTATTAATGTAAATTATGAGAGACGATTTAAAAAAAATATAATAAATACTTATTAAAATATGTGATTTTGCTTATATAAAAAATAAGTAAAAAGTAATAGTTTCTCTTATAAATAAAAATGGAGCATTACATTTTTGCAGTCATATAATGAATTGTTGGACTATTGTATACTCTCCCTATCCCTATATAGAAGAAATTTTTTAGAACTTTTTCTATTCTAAATATAAAAATTTGTTAGTATATTTAAAATAAATAGATTATTATACCCTCTTTACATTGGAAAGAAAAAATAAAAGTACTCATGAATTTACTTAAAAAAAATCTTCATTTTTTATTTATAATTATGAGGGGTAAAAATAAAATATTGCTATGCCTTTAAGTACATAATCAGCTTTTACTTATTTACGTGATTCAATTAAAAACATCTTATGTATGAGGATGGAGGAAATATATATGTCTCATAGCGAAAAGTGTGATTTAATGTTCTTGGAGTTGTATCTTGTATTTAAACCTTCAACAATTGTTTGTTTGAATAACAATCTCTATATTATCATGCGTGAAACATTCACTAGGTCACTCGTTTTTGTAGTAGTAATTGAGTAAGAGAATTTAAGACACTCATTGAATAAAAGAATTTGAGACACTCACTGAATCCGAATAGAATATGAGAGTTTAAACAAAAATTTGGGACACACTACTTTCCATCATGTTTGGTATTAGATACTGTGAAAAATAGTGTAAAAAATTTGTTTGACATTAATTGGATTTTTTTTTCTTGGATGCGTGTGTAAACTGTAAGGATACTTTCTAATTTTTAATTTAAAAAATATCTCAACTTTTTTTTATTTTTTATAAGTATCCTCCTATTAGATATCATCATATTCAAGGCACAGTTGTACGTTAAATGTATACTATTATGTTCTTTTTATCCATTATTTCAAAATTTTCAATTACCGTAGATAAACTCGTATATTCCTAACTCAAATAAGATCTAAAATAAACAATAAAAACTTGCCCTATATCTTGAAACATGAAAATAGTCAACTAATATTTATTTTTTTTATTTTAAAATGGGATATTTTAATTATTTTTGCACAAAAAAATCATTACTGTCAAAAAGATCCTCCCTAAAGATTTGAGAAGAATCATAATATTTTGTAAAATTATCATTGACATATTTTAAAGGATTAAAATGCATTTTTCCTTGTACTTTACTTCAAGAAGCATTAAGTACTCTATACTAATAAATGGGCCATTTTTGCCTTTAAACAGGAGCAAAAATTTCCCTTCATTAATGGATCACTAATAAAGAGATTTTTTCTCATCTAGAAAATAGTTTGAGTGAAAATAACTCCCTTATTAATATAAAGTTACATTTTAACCCTTTTTAAAAACTTTTCCCAAGTCTTTTATATGGGCAATAGTACGTACAGGCATAATTAACTAATAATGAGAGAATCAACTTTAAAAAGCGGGTTCTCATCACTAACTGATGACATATTCGTTTAATTTAGTTTTATCCAACTCTGCTTGGTCTTATGCTTGATTCATTTGGCTACTTTCTCTATCCTTATTAATTATAGTAGTAATTATAATATTTTTCCTAATCAGATTTCTAGTAAATCAAGAAGTTTCCTTCATACTTTGGCCCCAAAACATGTTAATAATATCTATGGAATTAAATAAGCTGTGTTGTTCAAATTGGTTGTTGATAAGCTGTCACCCACAGGGATATTTCATGAATCATTGCCTTTAGACGAAGCTATAAGAGTTTTATTTAATTGTTAATTTTGTTTTATGGGTCATTGATGAATAATTTAGATCACATAATGACAAGTTAAGGGAAGACATATTCTGGTGCAAGAGTCTTTTTGGCTAATCTCTCTGATAGGAGGATATAGGAGTTAGGACGTTAGGTGATCAATATCTTCGTATCTTAACAGTTAAAAATGGGGTCATTATAATTAAAAAGAGCTTGATTAATTGATTTTTAAATAGTCTCACGTTATCAACCCTAAATTTCAATTGGGTTTAGTCATCCAACATCTTTTTGCACCCATCATGCACTCCAAATTAAATATCAGTTAGTGAATTTTCATATAAAATAAAAGTATAGAACACCTTCTAAAACTTGAAAGGATATGAAGACTTCGTGATTTGGATTCAACTCCTAACTATGTTACGTATGCTTTTACTTCTAATCTATATATGTACCATAAATTTCGTTAAAAAAAAACAGCACTATTTATAAATAAAAAATAAAATGGTGTGATGATTTATATTGGATAAAGGGGCAAAAATATCCATAAAGTAGTCAACCATGGACACCCAATATTCTAAAGTAATGCAAAGAGCAAAATACTCATAACGTTACATGGATGGGTGCAAAAATAACCAGACCGTTAACTTTAACCTAACACCATTAATTTTGACCGTTAAATATTAACCGTACATGCCACGTGTCAGTCTTTGCTAATGTGGATTAAAAAGGGGGTATAAATACCCATGAAGTCATCGGTTAGGAGCAAAAATACCCATAACGTTATCAAAGTTGGTGCAAAAGTGACTAATACATCCAATTCTTTAAATGTTGACCGTTTAGTTGACACCTAAGTAAAAATTGATTATTTTTTTTGCTGATATAAACAAAAAATATTCCAAGATGAGTTTTTACAAATGTTGATTGATCATTGGATTAGTACGATAATGTTACTTTAGTATGTATAATAGTGACTAATCTGTTAAAATCAATGCCATATGATTTCTTTTCATCACCACATATCTCGCCCCCTTTCTTTCTCCCTCTCCACTTATTTTTCTTGTCTACAAAACCTGAGATTTAACATAGTGAAATAGGTTGTTCAAAATTGAAGATCAAGACTGAGCACATCTAGTTCAAGATTATTGTCACAATCTTAAGCAATTGCATTCACAATAAATTTAAAATTTTCAAATAATTTTCACCACTGCTGCAAAGAAACAAGTAATTTAATTTGATATTAAGTCAAAATGACATTTTCTCGCATGATATTTATACAATAATCGATTAACTTTTAAAGAATTTTATCTAGGAATATTTTTTGTCCACATTAGTGAGAAAAATAGTCAACTTGTAATTAAGTGTCAGTGAACTGTCAATATTTAAGGGATTGGATGGATTGGTCACTTTTGTACCAACTTTAGTAATGTTATGGGTATTTTTGCTCCTGACCTCGACTTCGTGGATATTTTTGTCCCTTTTTTAGTCCACATCAATAAAATTAATACATGACATATACAGTTAGCATTTAATAGTCAAAGTTAATAGTGTTAGGTCAAAGTTGATGGTCTGGTTATTTTTGCACCCATCCATATAATGTTATGGTATTTTTGCGTTTTCATCACTTTAAGATACTGGGTACCCGTGACTGATTACTTTGTGGTATTTTTGCCCCTTTACCCATTTATATTGGATTTTATACAAAACATAACACGTGTTTTAATTGGTAATAGGAATGTGACAAATTAATTAATAGTTTAAAAGAAAATTAAAAAATATTATTGTTATTAGTATTAATTTATTATTATTAAGTAATTAGAGAGAAGAGATATATTCTTGGAATTTAATTAAAATTTCAAGAATAATTAAGTTAGTAAAGAAGTACTAATAAATTATGGCTATTCTAGCATAGTAACAACTAGCAAGTAAAAGAGTTTGAGAAACGAAGTTATTTTTTATTGTTCACAAGTATTTTGTTTATTGAAAGCAATTATATTCAAGGGTGATTGGACACTAAATATAAACACTTTTTTTAATGAAAATTCAAGTATTATTCATCACATTGTGAGAAACTAACATCTTCTACAGTTCTACTAGACTCTACCCCTATTAGTAGAAAATAAGGAAGTTATTTCAAATTAAATAACAATAATATGTAACACAACAATAGGCCTTATCTATATAAATTATATGATACTATTGTTCTATATCAACAATATGACTAACTCTTTTTTAAGTGTCTCTTTATTGGCCGGTTTCCCTCTATAATTTCTTCCACAACACTGAAAAGGCAAAAGCACACATTCGGTTTTATAATTTTAATGAATCTTTTGTGAAGATAAAAGACCAAATGTATACTTTTACTTAGTAAAAACAATGGACTAAGGGGGAAAAAAAACTATGGACTAAGTAAGTGCTTTTCACTAGCATTTCTAGTGACGTTTTTGAAATTCAAACTGCTTTAAATGATTATTAAAATATGAGGGAATCAAAAATAGGAAAAGCAGGAGTGTAGATGCAAGTTGAAATGGAGAGCATGGATGAACAGAAGAAGAAAGCGGATTGAAAATGAAATTAACGTGAAAGGAGTTGAGAGAATGTTAGGCAGATGTCTGAAACCACACGTGAAGCTGATTTCACTCTCAGAGCGTGCAACTTGAGTCTTCAAGTCCTACATTTTACTTTTCCCTCTCGAAGTGGACAAATCAAAGTTCTGCATGCTCTACTGTGCACCCATAAATCCTCATCATATGAAA